AACAGTCATGTTGAATGTCCGGGACTGTTAAACAAAGATGTTGGTCAATATGATGCGAGACTGGGACCGAAACAGCCGATCCATGAATGGCTAGGATGACGTATACCTCAAGGACTTGGAGAGAGCAGATTCCAGCCAAGGATGGCTAAAGATAGGTTGTCTTGGCCAGGCCCTTGTGAGGGAGTAAGTTTTGGAAGGTCTGCTCAACAATTCGTGCCGCCTATGAATAATGCCACGGCAAGGATGGTGAGGCCCAATCAGGTTACGGACAATTTGTGGCACATGGTGGAACATCCCAGATTCCCGACTCCAGTGTCAGCAAGTAATGGTATGACTCGGACTCAACATCGGAGGTGGCAGCATCAACGAGCTGGACGGTATCAGGAGTCAAAACAAAAGAGGAAGTTTGAGCAATAACCTTACGCTGCGCCTAGGAAACAAACTCGAATAGTTAAGCAGTGGCGAGTCAAGGAGCAGGATAGTATGGATGTTAATATGGTGTATGTACTTCCCAAGGAGTACACTGCTAGACAAACCATGGCAGAACTATTGAAAGTAAAGGTTGATAAGCCAGAAGAAGTACCGATGTCGGAAGCTAATCGGCACTCGAAAGAAGTATTGGGTATTAAGGTGACAACTGATGGAGATTCCCTAGTAGTAGTAATTTCTGTGCCAGAATCGATGTGTACTAGCCATGTGAACCGCTATATGTGCAGGCTTTGTTGAATGGTGTTCCTATAAATAGGATATTAGTTGACAATGACGCGGCTGTAAATATTATGCCCACTTCCACTGTACAAAGGTTGGGAAAACAAGAACTGGATTTGGTCCCTAGTGAGACTGCGGTCAGTGGTTTTACTGAAGATGTGACAAGTACTCGAGGAATATTACCGGTTAAGGTAGAGTTGGGCTCTCAAGCAGTCATATCAGCTTTCTTTATATTGGATACCACAGGATCTTATAATGCTTTGTTAGGCCGTGACTGGATTCAGTCGATCAAATGCATTCTTTCATATTTTCATCAAGCTCTGGTGATCTGGGGGGCTGGCGGACCAGAAGTAATAAGGGTTGATGCTAAACCTTTCATGGTTCAAAGCAATGCGGCTGAGGCGTTTTATTATGAAAAAGATGTTGGACCATGTAGGTTACTCGGGATTGATAAATATGGTAGACATATGACCGCAAAGCCTATGAAGAATACAGGAATCAGGGAGGGAAGATGCTTTTACAAGAGATCCGCAAGCCATGTCAATATTTGGCACCCAGGCCGCAGGATGCTGGACCGATTATAGAAGAGATTTTCGATGATGGTGAAGGATTCAATAATTCATTGGTTGGAGTCATTGGCATTATGTATAGTAGATGTTGTTTGTGAAGAAGAACCAGTGGTTGAATTTGATGATATTGAATTGTCGGAGTTGGCAAGAGCAACTAATAAGCTTGAGGATGACGCCGTGACAAAAGAGCTAGTTGAGTCTGTGAATTTGGGAATCGGCAGAGAATAAAAGCCAACATTTATAAGTGCGATACTTTCTGACGATCAGATGAGGGCATCGACAAAGGTATTGATGGAGTATCGGGATTATTTTGCGTGGGATTATACCGAAATGCCAGGATTGGATCGTAGTTTGATTGAGCACATGATTCCCACAAAGAATGAATTCAAGCCAAAACAGCAGGCGCCACGGAGACGGGAATATTGGGTATAATCGGATTTATATTGCTGAGAAGGATGTCCCGAAGACGGCTTTCGGTGCCCAGGAGTGTTAGGGATTTTTCAGTGGAGAGTGATGCCATTTGGGTTAAAGAATGCCTGAGCGACATATCAAAGGTCATGAATTATATTTTTTACAATATGATTGGAAATATGGTGGAAGTATATATCGACAACGTGGTGATAAAGTCTCATACTTTTGAGGAACATCTGGATCAGTTGGCTCAAGCTTTTGCCCGAATGAGGAAATATAAACTGAAGTTGAATCCACTGAAATGCGCGTTCGGGGTAACTTCTGGAAATTTCTTAGGATTCTTGGTCCAAGAGAAAGGGATAGAAGTTGATACTGAGAAAGCCAAGGCTATTATAGATGCTAGACCGCCAAGAAATAAGAATGAGTTGTAGAGCTTGATTGGCAAGATGAATTTTTTGAGACGGTTTATAGCAAATTTTTCTGGAAAAATCATGGTGTTTTTGCCATTGTTGAAATCCAATAATACCGATGAGTTCGCTTGGGGAGAAGCACAAAAGAAACTTTTGATCGGTTGAAGAGATACTTGGTAAATCCGCCTGTGATGACATCACCACAAGGAGGGAGGCCATTGAAACTGTATATATCAGCTACAGAAGATTCTATTGGGTGTTTCTTGGCTCAGGATGGTGAAGATGGGATAGAAAGAGCAGTGTATTACCTGAGCCGGTTGTTGAATGATGCCAAAAGGCGGTATCCGCCCATAGAGAAGTTATGCTTAGCTTTATATTATGCTGCTGCAAAATTAAGACATTATATGTTACCAGTTATGGTGTATGTGATTAGTAAGGTGAATTTGCTTAGATACATGTTATATCGACCGACTATAAGTGGCCATTTGGGAAAATGGGCGTTAGCCTTAATGGAGTATTAATTCCCGCATGTACCTCAGTCAGTGGTTAAAGGACAGGCATTGGCAACTTTTTGGCGGAGTATCTGTCATTAGATAGGGATTGGTCTGAAAAAGAGGTAGAATTTTATGAAATTATGGCCCTAGAAGAAAGACTATGGGAATTATATTTTGATGGGTCTACTACTTGTGTAAAAAACAGAGCTGGGATCATGATGTTATCACCAAACGGTGTGGCCATGAAGGTGCAGGTCAGATTGGGATTTAAATGTACTAATAATCAGGCAGAGTATGAAGGCATCGTGTATGGTTTGGAGACTTTGTTGTCTAATAAAGTAAAGCGTGCAAAGGTGATTAGTGATTCTTGGTTGATTATTCAGCAAGCTTCGAATGATGTTGTTGCAATGACAATGTGCTGGTTAAGTATTGGGCAATTGTAGAAAGGCTAAAGGAACGGTTTGATCACATCGAGTTTGAATATTGACCTAGAGAGTGTAACCAAGACGCTAATTGTATGGCGCAAGCTGCTTCTGATTATCGGCCGATAATAGATCAATCGCTTTTTTTCTATGTTGTTGACTTGGATCGGCCGACATATGAATATTCGGTGACGATTATAAATAATGTAGGCAAAAAAATAGACTGGGGGGCACCACTGATCGAGTGTTTGGCTTTCCCAGAAAGAAAGGTTGATTCGAAACTCTGAAATAGTCAGCCAATTACTTTCTCATTGACGGGTTGTTGTACAAGAAAACGAAAGATGAGGTATAGCTTAAATGTGTTAGCAAACCAAAAGCATTTTTAATTATGCCGAAAGTGCATGAAGGAGTTTGTGGTGCTCATTAGGGTGGAAGGAAAATGTCTTGGTTGATTCGAAGGTACGGTTATTTCTGGCCAAGTATGACCAAAGATTGTATAGAATTCACTCAAGGGTATAAGGAATGTCAAAAGCATGGTTATGTTCAGAAGATGCACCCAGAGCCGATGCAGATCATAGTGAAACCATGGCCATTTAGGTGCTGGGCAATGGATTTGATTGGGATGATTTATCCTCCGTCAAGTGAAGGCCACAACTACGTTATAGTAGCTACCGATTACTTCACTAAATGGGTAGAGACGATTCCGATAAAAGAGGCCGATCAGAAAACTGTAACTAAGTTTGTGAAAAAAACACATCATTTATGGATTTGGAATTCCAAAAACTATAGTTACTGATCAAGCCCAGTACTTTGTTGGAAAAGATATGGTAGAGTTTGCTAAAGAGATTGGATTTGATTTTACGCATTCTTCTCCATATTTTGCACAAGAAAATGGACAAGTTGAAGCTTCTAACAAAATTTTTAAGGGGATTGTGCAAAAATCTATAGATGAAAACCCAAGAGAATGGCATGAAATGGTTCCCCAAGCTTTGTGGCCTTATCGGACAACTAAGCGAGGAGGAACTGGAACTACTCCTCATGAGTTGGTCTATGGGTAAGATGCAGTATTACCGATTGAATAGTAAGTCAAGACGGTAAGGGTGGCTGAGCAGTGTCCTATCGATTCAGAGGAGTATCGACTGCCAATGCATGAGCAACACGAACGGGTAATGGAAACAAGGAAACAAGCTATCCAACATATTCAGTTACAAAAGGAGAGAATCTTCAAGCAATATCAGAGGAATAGAAGGCAGAGGATATTTGAACTTGGGGACAAAGTTTGGAAAGTGGTCTTGCCGATTGGACAAAAAGACCACAGTTTAGGTAAATGGTCATATACATGGGAAGGTCCATTTATCATACATCAGAGTTTAAGCATAGGGGTTTACAGGCTCAAATCATCAACAGGAGAAGTTCATGCAAAAACAGTTAATGTCGTATTCCTAAAGAAGTATCATGCATCAACATGGGATCAACTAAGTGCCACAGATCAACAGAAAGCCAAAGAGTTAGCAAGGCAAAGATATGAATAGCAAATCAGTTTTATTCAGAGAAAGGAAAAAAATCGAGAAGTAAAAGAAATATTCCCAACAAAATGCACGCTGGCCAACAAAATCAAGAGAAATACATTGTTTTAAGACCCGTGCAGGGGCCGATGGTAAAAGATAAATTGTTCAAAAGAAGGGATTCACTCACCCTTTGATTCACCGGAATGTTCTGGAATAGGTCCTACACCAGCATCAACCATCAACTTTCTCAGAGCGGCTACCACTTTCCCCCATGCTGAATGAGTATCCATCAGTTTGGCACCAGCTTGGTCATATAACGGCCGGCAGTTTCAGCTTTGTAGTGCCATTCTTCGACCTGATTAAGAGCTTCAGCCGCCTAATCGGATAACAGGACCAGCTCTCGGTTCTTGGATGCAATCTGATCCTTAATCTCTTGAAGTTTCATCTCCAAATTCTGTAGGGCCAAGGTCAATTCTGCCTATTCTTTTTCAGCTGGTTCCATCTGCTGAGCACAAGTCTGAACTCGTTCTTGGCTTTTGGCTAAGTTAGCTTCATAGATGGGTAGATTCTTCCGGATGTCCGAGTTGGAGATGTATTGCTTTTGTAGGTCATTGAACTTAGCAAGGAACTCATTTATAATTTCGGCGGTGAGGCTGGTCATGCCCCCAAACATAAGAGCTTCAAGGTCCTTCTTGATCTGATGAGATTGGGTAGCAAACACTTGGCCAACTGGGGTATTGATTATCTTTTTAGACAGCTTGGTGACGGAAGCGCCTGCAAGGGGGCTCATTGATGCTCTGGGGGCACCTGTTTTAAGGCTTGCCAACCTAGCACGTAGTGCCGCTGGTGAGAGAAGATTGGAACTTGGAGACCTAGTCTGTTTGGTTGAAGCCGATGGAGTAGGAGTAGACAGCATAGGTGGGAGCCGAGAAACAACATCATCAACATCTGATCTCTGTTTTTTTTGAGTATCGGCAGAAGAACTCTATGGCAATCAGTGTTTCCTAATAAGAGGGATTTCTTCTTCTTCTTCTTCTTCATCTTCGCCAGTTTGTTGTTGAGGAATTTCTTCCTCCTTATGCTCTTCTTCATCCAGGAACATGATTTCATCTTTGGCTGATCCTTGTTCCTACTATCGGACAGAAGGAGGGGTAAGTTTACTAGAAGGTAAAAATAAAACAACACAGCAAGGAACACACATCACAAAAACAACACAGTAAGGAACACACATCACATACACTAAGACAAACGAATAGGGAGGAAGGTTACTCTATGAGGAACAATAGCTGTTTTCTTGAAGCTCTGGGGCCTGGATAGCAGTCTTGTGGGTTGTCTCGTTGCAGTAGAAGGGTTCTTAGGAAGTGGTGTTTGGTCTTTGCGGAAAGCTTTCTCTTTGACAAGATCTGCAATTGTTAGAATTAACCAGTGAAAGGGAAAATCAGGGAGTAAGTTGTGGTAAACAATAAGGAGTGTTACTATCATCTTTCAATGGGACTGCACTCTTGGAAATGATTGGTATAACCACATTGGTCACGGTCAATTGTTGCCTGAAGACATCAGGTGTGCCTGGCATGATGATCAGGAATATTTATTTGCACCATAATCTGAAAGCTGCAATGCATATCTGTCTTGGAGTGAATGGAACAATGGTTGCATATTGCATCAGCAGATTCATGAGATTGACCCGACCGGCAACTGCAGATGGAGGAATGTGAAACTTGCCGATTCTCCAGTTGTTCTAGCAGTTGAATTCAATGTTGAGAACAATTTGAATTAGGCCAAACTGTCGAGCCACCATGTTGGCTGGGTAGAATTCGGCAAAAGTCTCCATGGTTCTCTTTCTACCGGTAGCTTCCTGTTGCCGGAAACCAAAGTGCAGATCACGGGTGACCAGGAAATACCCCTAGATTACCCTCATGCCAGTGGTGCCAGACTCATCCCAGTGACCAAATCGGGTCTCAGCCTCAAAGATTAATCCAAAACATCGGTGGTAATAATCAGTATCAAGCAACCAATGGACAACAGAAATGTCAGGCTCAACCTCTAGGAAGATGCCCACAACATCATGAGTGGACATTTTGTTTTCCTCAAAAGAGGTAATTTTATAACATAAGGGTTGGTTGCGGCCCGCTATTTCTGAGTAGCTGGATCTAAGGGCTGGGAAATACATTTCAAGCCACAGAATTAACAACCACAAAGGACCACTTAAAGTATGCTCAGAATGCTGCCTGGGTTCAAACATGCTTCTATAAAAACCACCCAACAGAGCCGATGCGAGGTCTACTTGTTTGCCGGTAGCAAGTACACGAGCCAGGTGATAGAAATTCATAGTCATCTGCAAGGATTTAGAGCAGAACACGTACCGATTGAGCCAAAAGGCTAAGAAAGTCCTGTGTTGGGTAGCAGAATCAGTATCTCTGACTGAATCCATTATCCGGCAAAATTGGTTCTCTTGATTGGATGCCAGACCTGTTGCACCCGGGTGCTCCAAATTGACGTCAACTACCACAGGAACCGCCGGCGTGAGTCCAGTAATGATGCAGATATCGAGGAGAGTTAGTGTCAACATTCCCCACGAAAGGCAGAGAACGTTAGAAGTGGTTGACCAAAAGTGGGCGACAGTGCTAAACACAGCCGGATCAAAAGGGACCCCGATTTGCAGAACTGGATCAGGTCATAGATTCCGGCATCACGCCAGACTTGCCCAAACTATGGCTCTAGATAATCACACCAGTTGACCCAGCCGGGATGGATTTTGATTTCTGGGGACCAAGGCCAACTGCGGTGGCTCTGAACACTCTGACAGTTTCCGGGATTGACGAATTGGTAATGAGGACTTGGGGGAAGACATACTGGAATATGTCGGAAGAGCGCCGGTGGAGCAGTATCGAAACCCGGCCCTAAACTGTAGGACCGAATTTCTTCATTAAACAGAGCCCCGGTATCCGGGTAATTAGGCACCAGTGATGGGGCCTCAGCTTCACGAATAGACCGTTTCTTGGCGAGCACAACAGAGTAATCTCCTGCAGCGGCCATGGGAGCAATGAACAGATGGTCAGCGGAGAAGGGGGCAGAAAGTTTGAGAACGCAAAGAAGGAAAAGGAGATTGGGAGAATTGATGAGAATGATGGTGTTTTGAGAAAAGGGGGAACAACGTATTAATAGCACCTTGTGGAACGCATTAACAGACTGATATTCCCAAATCAATAGGGGATTTGGATGACATTGAAATCTCACTTCTCTGGGGATTGAGATATTGGCTATTAATAGAGGAGATGTGTTTCAGTAAGGGAAGGATTCTATATTTGAATTTTTCCCAGGAAGGTTAGAAAACTTGTTCAGTACATTTCACAATTTTTCTCGGGGGGCATTATGTTGGGTCACTTTTTTCCGATTGGGTTTTGGAAGATTTGGAGAGAAAGTGGGTTGGATCAGATAAAGTAGAAGGTCGCGAATCAGGCTTCTAGAAGGCCCAAAGCCCGATTTGGGAGGAGAAAACCTAGTTGTTATTGGGTTAGAATTGTGAACCGACTGGAATTTAAGTACTATTTAAAGGAATCGGCGGTAGGAGGAATAACACAATCAAATTAGCATCAAATTGCTTTCTTTAAATTTTTATTCTTTTATTTCTGATTTTATTTCTAAAATTAGGGTTCTTCGAGAACTCTCTAGACTAGGCCGAATCATCGGCGGCTGTACTTGATCGTTAAAGAAATTAATAAAGTCTGACTTCTGGCCGATTCTTATTATTCCGAAGTCCTTACTTTTAGTTTGCTTAGCACAAGTTAAAAAGAACAACCCATACTATTGCGTAATTAGACGAAAATTGTGCAAACACTAGCCAATTTGTGCAGCACACAAAATCAATTGACAGTCCAACTGTAAACACCAAATTGACTGGCAACCCGAGTAATCACTTAATAAATCCAGTGGAAAAATTTGATTAAATCAATCCATCTAATAAATTTCGGTAGACCGAAGAACTTCAACAAGATCACCAATGAAAAAGAATAACAAAATTATTGATTTCATTACTCAATCCCCACAACTTTTAAAGGGGTAACGATTTGATATAATAGATTAATCAATCTATCTAACTTCTGACATGACAATACATTGATCTCAAACAAACGACTACCTAAGAGTACCAAAACCAAAACTTTTGAATAATTAGAATCGTACCAAAAGATCATATTCACCGTTGATTGTCATTGAACACAAAACATTCAAATCGACCCACCAAGACGAACGTCGGCTCTGAATATCAACTGGCCTAGCTAGTGGAAGCGTCCGGATCTATGATCAATCTGAAATAATAACCGTAACAGGTAATCCTAACACAAATAGTTGAGATCCATTGATTCTACCTAGATAAAACCTTTCTAAAACCGTTGATTCGACGCGAATACCCGAGATTAAGGCATCAAGATCCTTCTCAAGAAATTAGAAGAGAAAACACTCTTAATTTTATAAATTCCTCAAAACTAAGTGACAACGTGAACGTTAGCTGCGGCTCTTTAATTTACATAAAATATGATTAACCCTACTACTAATAAAATTTTAAAAATACCCTAACAATAAATAAAATTTTCTCAAAAAGATGAGAAGTGCGTATTATGTAATCAGTAAGATGAGATAGTACAACACCTATTTTTTCAATGTCCATATGCAACTGAATTATTGCAGCAAATGAGGACAGGGATAGGGATACAAACAAGGATCGGAGTTCTTAATGTGACCAGGATCATCAGAATTTGGAGGTATAAGAAGTTGAAAAAGACAGTATTTTTTTAATGATGTCATATATAATGTGTGGATTGAAAGGAATTGTAGGAAATTTGGCAGCAAAAAGGAGACTGTAAAGGACAGATGGTTTCTGATAAAGACTGAATTAATGGAGGATAAAAAATGTATATCGTAATGGTAGTGATGATGATATTCGATTTCAAACTAGTTCAGGAATCCAGTTTTGAAAACAAGCATGTAAATGCTGTATATAACTTGTTGGTGGAGAAATAAAAGTATACATTTTACCCAAAAAAAAGTAATAAATAAAAGTGACAACAATAATTAAAAGCTGAATCAATGCCCTAATCCTACTATTCATAACCGATACTCATCAATCTATCTATTTCTCTTGAGAAGTTTTCTCTCTGCTTATAATCTCTGTTTCTCACCTACCAATGGCCAAACTTCTCAGAAATGCTTCCATTTGGGAGATTTTTCTAATCACCATAAGCGCAACATTTTCGCTAAACTTTTCCTTTGCAAGCGATTATTATCCTCTTTTATGGGAGATCATAAAGATTGTTGTAGCCACAAATGTATCGTTGATGGGCATTGTGGTCTGTAGCCTCGTGGTGTGGTTCTTGATCTCTTTCCAATACAACTACTTACCAACATGCATGATATATCTGTTGGTTCAAGTTATACTGGTTTTAGGTTCAGTAATCCTTTTGATTTTGTTGGTAATTTCTCTGTTTGCAATTCCGGGGAGACAAGAAAATGGAGAGTGATTTTTTAATAAACGAGGAGTGGCCCTAGTTGAAGCAGTGCTAGGTGGGGTGACGATTTTGTGAGGCCCAACGTAAATGAAGCAAATTTTTGCGTTAAAAGGATGAAAGTGTATCCACATGAAAGCGTATTATAGGAACAAAAAATCACGTGAGTAAGGTCTAGATTTTGCCAGAGTTGTATTTTTTGTAAAAATAAGAGACGAGAAAATGTTACAATTTGCAAAATAAAAAATATAAAAATATTAAAAAAAAGTTCAAGTAAACATATACACACATACACACACATACACACATACATATGTATAATCCATATAAAATTGAAACATGAGTTATATATGAAATTCAATAAGATATCTAGCAAAATCTATATAAAATATTATTAGTTAACTTCTAACTTTTGCAATACGTCACTTGCAAATGTTTTGCAAGTAATTTGCACAAAGGATAAACCAGGACATGAAAGTCATTCTTTCTAAAATCATAACACCTAGCCATGCATTGATTACAAAACTTTGCACCGAATAACTTAGATTTTCACGAGATCCTAACCTAATCAAATTACAAAACATTGTACCGAATGAAAAGCGTAACGAATTTTCTTTAATTTAAGGTTTAGAGTTTAAATATTTCATTTAAGTTAGGGCATAGTGTGTAGTGTAAAATAATTATATTATGAATTTTTGTTATTCAAATAGGTTCACAAAAGTTCAAACCGAGTAAAGACCATAATTAATTTGTAGTTTAGGGTCTGGAGTTTAGGCTTTAAATATTTCAACTTGGTTAGACTCTATTGTATAAGGTGTATAATTAAACTAAAAATTTTCAAAATAAAATTAAGTTTACGAGACCCTAACCTAGGGGAATTATAAAATTTTGAACCAAATAATCTGCATGAGCCATACTACTATGTATATAGAAGTATAAGAATATGTTTATGAAGACATCCTGATATGTATATGGAAGCATGCAAATGTGTATATGAGACTTATGATATTTTTATGAAAGTATATTGCTACGTATATAAGGACATATGAATATAGTTGTGAAGGCACTCTCTTTTCCTCTCTCTCAGCCGCCTCCCTCCCTCTCCCAAACCCTAAAAAAAAAAAAAAATTCTTCTTCCCCCATTTTCTCACCATGGGAAGATGAGGGAAATAGTTTTTATTAAATCTTATTTTTAATTTTACTTTTTAATAAGTGGGATTATTCCCAAATTGTAGTCCGTCAGCAGATCTTAATCTATTGATTGTATTGGAGTCTCTCAGTAGATCTTAATCTACTGATAGTAGGAGTTATTCATAGTCTTTTTGGCGATCGATGCTCATTGGGTTGTTGATCGTAGTTCTTGCTCGAGATGCAGCTACCGTTAGATCTATTCATTAGATCTATGAAATTGAATTTCAACAAAAGGCAAGTGATATATTCGAGATCATGTTTTGGTACGTGGCATATCCAACTGATAATGGAGAATTCAACCGAATAGATCTAGATCTGTATAGGTTGAATTATAGTGAATACAACAGTTTTGAGTTGAAAATTTTGCATATGGGCAGTTGTAATTGTTCAGTGGTTATACTCTTTTTGTTCTAATCGTTGTTGGACGATTTCCAGTAAAGTTAATACAAAGTCTTGTTTCAAAAATATATTTGTTAAGGAATGTTATCACATATATAGATGCATGAAAATATATATATATATATATATATATATATGAAGATATATTTACAATGTATATGGATATATACGAGTATGTTTATGAAGACATGACATGTGAATATGTTTAGAGTATTTAATTTGATTTTAATGATTTCATTACTTCAGTTAAGTAATGAGGTCACAAAATTAATTGAAATGTTTCAAAATTTTACCCGAATGAAAACTGCTATTACTATTTTAAAATTCATGTAAATTAGTTTGATTAAATACTTTGGCCAGCTGTTCCACCCATTGAGGTGCCTACAATTCAGCGAAGAGAATTAGTCAATATTGCCGATGATGGACACCCTGCAAATATATAAAAAAAGAAAAAAAACTTAAAATAGTGCAAAACAATGTCAATTTACTTTTTCTTTAATTGAAATTCGTAAAGCAATATTATAAATTAGAAAATACAACGGAAAATAAAAAGAATTAAAACCACATGGTTTATGAAAAGGACAAATGAAAAAAATAATAAAATCATTAAACAAAATGAAAACATAATCTTAGCGGCACAAAAAAAAGTAATGACAGATTACGTTTCTTTGAATAAAAATAAAAACAATCTTAAAAAATTTATTTGTTAAACAAATAAGAAAACTAAAAAAAATTGGAAAAAAAAATTAGTTAAAGGAAAAAGGAAGAAAAGTCAAAATTGTAAAAAATAAAATAAAATAAAGAAATGGCCAGAATGACCAAACGGAAGGGGAGAGCAGAAGAAAAAGAAAAAAAGAAAAAGGAAAAAGAAAATGGTTGGCCCGCGCGAAGAAAATATTCTTTAATTTATGAGGAAAGACAGAGAGAGGGAGAGAGTTTGTTCTGCAGAAGAAATATTAAACCAAATCAACTAAATCAATAGAATGATGACGGAAATTAGTCCATTAGATCAAATTACAATACGTGAATCGAGAAGATTAAGAAGTAGAACCATTACGATGAACAGCAAACTAAAAGTTCTACATCATAACAGGTTTTGAAATTTATTACATGCGAGCGGTACACCGTAAAAATTACTGTGTTTTACGGTTTGGTCAAACAATCATGGTCTTTCATCAAACTTTTTTAAACCAAGTGGTAATTCATAGTCAACCCTTGTTCTTTTTCCAAATTATAATCCCTTGGGGCAACAAAAACCGAATCCTGATGTGATTTTAATTTCATAATAGCAATCCTAGTGTATTTCGGATCATTAATTCCCCCTATAAATACCTATCAGCAAGCGTCATAGACCGTATCTTTAGTTTCAACGTATTTGGTGAAGAAGTCCCTCTAAACCCTAGCAGTCTTTTTTTATTAACGCGTAGAGGAAGAGAAAACTCACTAAAGAAGAAAGAAGAATTCAGAATGGCAGGACAAGGTGAAGGACCAGCAATCGGAATCGATCTCGGAACAACTTACTCATGCGTCGGAGTTTGGCAGCATGACCGTGTTGAGATCATCGCCAACGATCAGGGAAACAGGACTACTCCGTCCTACGTTGGCTTCACCGACTCGGAGCGTCTCATCGGAGACGCCGCCAAGAACCAGGTGGCCATGAACCCTATCAACACCGTCTTTGATGCAAAGAGGCTGATTGGCCGCAGGTTTTTGGATGCATCGGTTCAGGGCGACATCAAGTTGTGGCCTTTTAAGGTTGTCCCCGGAACCGGAGACAAGCCCATGATCATTGTCACCTATAAAGGGGAAGAAAAACAATTTTCCGCGGAAGAGATCTCTTCCATGGTGCTGATCAAGATGAAAGAGATTGCCGAAGCTTACCTTGGCACAACTGTGAAGAATGCTGTCGTCACTGTTCCGGCTTATTTTAACGATTCTCAACGCCAAGCAACCAAGGATGCCGGCATAATCGCTGGCCTCAACGTCATGCGAATCATCAACGAACCGACTGCTGCGGCTATTGCTTATGGTTTGGATAAGAAGGCAACCAGTGTTGGCGAGAAAAACGTGTTGATTTTCGATCTCGGGGGCGGAACTTTTGACGTTTCGATTCTCACCATTGAGGAAGGCATATTTGAGGTTAAGTCCACAGCTGGAGATACCCATCTTGGAGGTGAAGATTTCGACAACAGATTGGTGAATCACTTTGTTCAGGAGTTTAAGAGAAAGAACAAGAAGGATATCAGCGGAAACCCGCGCGCCCTGAGGAGGTTGCGGACATCTTGCGAGAGGGCAAAGAGGACTCTTTCCTCCACCGCTCAGACAACCATTGAGATTGATTCACTCTTCGAAGGGATCGATTTCTATTCCATCATCACTCGGGCTAGGTTCGAGGAACTTAATATGGATCTGTTCCGAAAATGTATGGACCCGGTGGAGAAGTGTTTGAGGGATGCTAAGATGGACAAGAGCTCCATTCACGAGGTTGTTCTTGTTGGGGGTTCAACTAGAATCCCTAAAGTCCAACAACTCCTTCAGGACTTTTTCAACGGGAAAGAGCTTTGCAAGAGCATCAACCCGGACGAGGCGGTCGCTTATGGTGCAGCAGTCCAAGCTGCTATCTTGGGTAATGTTGATAATGAGAAGGTGCAAGACATCTTGCTTTTGGACGTTACTCCGCTTTCGCTCGGCCTCGAAACCGCGGGAGGCGTCATGACCGTTTTGATTAACAGGAATACCACCATTCCGACCAAGAAGGAGCAGGTTTTCTCCACCTACTCCGACGACCAACCCGGGGTGTTGATTCAGGTGTTCGAGGGAGAGAGGGCGAGAACCCGAGACAATAACTTGCTCGGTCAATTCGAGCTTTCGGGCATACCTCCGGCTCCCAGGGGTGCTCCGCAGATTACAGTGTGTTTTGATATTGATGCCAATGGTATTCTGAATGTGTCTGCTGAGGACAAGACCACTGGGAAAAAGAACAAGATTACAATCAGTAATAACAAAGGAAGGTTGTCTAAGGAGGAAATTGAGAAGATGGTTGAAGAAGCTGCCAAGTACAAGTCGGAAGACGAAGAGCACAAGAAGAAGGTTGAGGCCAAGAATGCTTTGGAAAACTATGCCTACAACATGAGAAATACGGTGAAGGATGACAAGATCGGTTCCAAGCTCGATCCGGCCGACAAGAAGAAGATTGAGGATGCTATTGAGTCCAGCATCCAGTGGGTGGAAGGCAACCAACTTGCTGAAACTGATGAGTTTGAGGACAAGATGAAGGAGCTGGAAAGTATTTGCAACCCCATCATTGCCAACATGTACCAAGGTGTTGGTGGTGGTAATTCATCCATGGATGCAAACGAAGCTCCTCCTCCTCCTCGTGGTTCCGGTGCCGGTCCCAAGATTGAGGAGGTCGACTAAATTTAATTACTTTGTTCTCATTCTCTTGTGGAAGTATTTGAATTCATATGTGGTTTTTGCTTTTTAGTTTTGAAGAAGTATTAAATAAAGAAGCTAGTTTACAATTTAGCCTTATCGTCCTTCATTATTTTTTACCTTTGGCTTTTCTGGTTTAATTAATACATGATTATTAATTTTTTTAAGAAAAAATTCCTTTGATGCGATTTATATCTATTTTTCCTTAACAAAACAATCAAGGAGAAGTTTAGGGAGGTGACAGAAGGTATTATTCTTCATATTGTCTTTTCTCGATTTGGATGACTAAGTAAAAGTTCAATACTATCCATAGAATGTTATGATGGTGCATATTGTATGTACCCTTGAAAATGAAGTTTGATGACAGGCGGGGTGGATGAAAACAATAACGAACTAGAGAAGATTATACAATTAGATCAAAACACTTCGACATGAATTTCATAGTTCTCTGCCCAGATGCTGCAAGTTGGAGGGATTGTGTCACGTTATCGGTTGGAAAGTGGAAAAAATCATGGATTTCATCACCGGAGAGGACGACCTGATTGATGGACCAGTTTATCTTCTGGAAAATGGCTCAAAATCTATCGTTATACTCCCTGGTTTGTATTTATTTTTAGCACAAATTGAATTAAAAGTTAAATTTGAAATTGACCATAATTTTGAGAGAAACTAAGGCAAAACCCAAAAAGGCAAAACCCAAAAATAAAAGAGTAATGATATTCTTCTCTACTATTTCAACTTTATTTATAACTTTACCTACATGGCTATCCGAATTAACACATCCACATCATCACCTCATTCATATACTATTAACAATAATATTTTTTTCTTAAAAAAAATAAAACCCATTGTTCATGCCAAATTTCTTGGACCGGAGAATTAAAATTCTTCACTGTCATCACCGACGCCAATCTCTATTCCTCAATATATATATATTGACCCTTTGCGCGGTCGTCGAAAAGGAAGTATTGCTGCTTTTCTTAGCGCGATTTATAATGAGGAGCATCAACATGATAATCCTGGTAACAAAGAAGACCCCTTTCCCCCTTATTAGTTTACAAGGGCAGCCGAGAAAGAAAATAGAAATTTAGGAGAGAAGCAGGAGTTTATATAATTCTTGAGCGCCTGATAATAATTGTATTAATGATTGGGAAACCAAAAACTACAGAATACCAAAAAATTAAATTGTTGAATTAACATCCAAATTAATTATCCTCATGAGCATTAGCTTTGGGGATGTCCAGGGCGCATACTTTGCAATTCCCCATAATATGATTTGCCCCGCAAATACTCCGAAGCTGCTGAAATAATTTACTCCCATGAAAAACCAGCATCCACCCTCTTTTTGCTGTTTCAGAGAATTGCCTCCCAAATCCCCAATAACCCCTGCTTTCTATGCCTCTTAGATGTTTCGATGACCGTAGCACGGGAAGGATTAGCTTTTTTATTGTAAAGATTTGCAATGAAAAATGTTTCGATGACCGTAGCACGGGAAGGATTAGCTTTTTTATTGTAAAGCAATGAAAAATGGTAATGTTTTCTTGGAGGATAGAGACGGGCATCGTTAAGAATTATAAATTTGGCGATGAACGAGGGATCTTATTTTTATTTATTTTTAAATAGAGTAAACCTCAAAACAAGTCATCCACCTTTAATATATTTCTACTCTAGGTCATCAATTAAATTTATTTGTAACACAGGTTACCTTCCTAAAGTTTTAATCTATTTCAAATTCTGTTAATTTTGACCGTTAAATAGTGACGGAAATCCATTTCTCACATGTATTTGGGTTCAAGGGTATTTTTGTCATTTTCTTAATCTTTTAATTTTTTTTTTTTTACAATTTATCTTCTTATACTTCCTAACTTGTATACACTGGTAGTATAATTCTAAATTTTAAAAATTTATTTTCCTTTTATATTTTAACTTCTAGATTATAAAATTGTTTTAGAAAAATTTAAGAAATTAAGAAGAAAAATTCTAGTTAAAGTAAACATGAAAATTAATAATTTACCATTTTAAACAAAAAAAAATTAAAATAATTAGCTAAGACAAGTTGTTTCTTCTAGGTTATTTAATTTTTTTCAACTTTAATTAAATAATTCAATCGAGTTGAAAAAAAATTAAATAACCTAGAAGAAACAACTAAAAAAAAGAATAAGAAACATGAAAATTAATAATTAAATAATTCAATCGAGTTGAAAAAAATAAATAACCTAGAAGAAACAACTTGTCTTAGCTAATTATTTTATTTTTTTTTTGTTTAAAATGGTAAATTATTAATTTTCATGTTTAGTTTAACTCGAACTTTTCTTCTTTATTTCTTAAATTTTTCTAAAAAAATTTTATAATCTAGAAGTTAAAATACAAAAGGAAAATAAATTTTTAAAATTTAGAATTATACTACCAGTGTATACAAGTTAGGAAATATAAGAAGAAGAATTGTAAAAAAAAAAAAAATTTAAAAGATCAAAAAATAAAAAAATAATAAAATGACAAAAATACCCCTGAACCCAAAAGCATGTGGGAAATGGATTTCCGTCACTATTTAACGGCTAAAATTAACAGAATAATCTGAAATGGATTAAAAATTTAGTAAGATCACCTGTGTTACAAATAAATTTCATTGATGACCTAGAGTAGAAATATATTAAAGGTTGATGACTTGTTTTGAGGTTCACTCTTTTAAATATTATTGTAAATATATGAGTTGATAATGTGGATGTGTCAATTAGGACAGCCATATAGGTAGAGTTATAAGTAGAGTTAAAATAGTAGAGAAGAATATCATTACTCAAAATTTTTTTTTTTTTTTTGGTAGAGGTAAATGATATATTACTCAAAACTGAAGTTGTGATCCTTACACTTGTATTTACATTTCACTTCCTTTCTATTCAATCAACTATTCCTCTACTTCACTTACATAAGAAAAATGCCTTTTGAGATTAAATATTTCCTCTCTATTCTGGTCATTTTTGTACTGGTCTGCTGCATTCTCCATTTCAGTTCTTGTTTTATTACCACAACTCTGTCCTCCACCGTCCACTTTTCATTTGCAAATCTTCTAGCATTCCGTTCCATCCAAATATTGTATACTCCAGCCACTATTACTCCTGCTGCCAATTTCCGCTTTTGGTTCTGATAGTTACAGCCATACCTCAGTCTCTGTTGCACTTGTCTCAGCTGCTTGCCTCGAATTTTAACACCAACCCATTCCATCAAAAATCTGATCATCTTCTCTGAGTAGCTGCACTCAAAGAACAAGGGAGCACGACTCTCTATAACTTGTTCATCACACAGCACACATCCCACCTGCAAATCAGCAATCCTCAACCTGTGTGACCTTTGGTAAGCAGCCTATCCTGCCATGCAAGCGAAGTGATAAGCTATGTTTAGGCAAACAGACTTTATTCCAGATCATCTTACCAGCTGCAAACTCTGGTCCTTTACTCCTCCATTGGTTATACCCTGATCTAGTAGTGTATTCTTTCTTCCCTATCTCCCACACACCATTGTCTAATCCTTCTTTCAGCTTCTGCTTAAGTCCCATCGGCTTCCTCAAGTGCCAACTACAGTCTGTTGGCACTTCAAATTCCCACAACGTCTTGCCCTTTAAATTATATGCATGAATCCATTTCACCCAGAGAACATTCTTATCCACAGCAATATCCCATAACTATTTAGCAACAGCAGCTTGGTTCCACATTCAAGGCTCCTTGATGTTTAATCCATCCTCATGTCTTGGCCTACATACAGTATCCCACGCAACCAACAACATTCTGTGCCCATGTTCAGTTTTCCCACACAGGAATTCTCTACAAACTCTTGTTATCTGAGTGATCACTTCTTGAGGTAACAAAAAAGCATTCCCCCAATAGGTATGCATTGAGGACAAAACAGAGTTCACCAATTGATTCCTGCCAGCATACGACAAATGTTTGGTGCTCCAACACTTGATTCTCTTAGTAATTCGATCAACCAGCTGCTTACAATCATCCTTATTCCATTTCGTAGGTGATATTGGGAGCCCTAGATATCTCATAGGGAAACAACCAACCTCAAACCCCATGATTCCCTGCAACCTCATTTCCATTTCTGCACCAACTCCGGTACTGAACAGATTTGATTTATTCTGATTTACCCTCAGCCCTGTTGTATCCCCCAAAATGTCGCAGCACCTCTCGTACTCTTTCCACTGATGTTTCCTCAGCTTTGCATAGGATGATTAAATCATCCGCAAAACCTAGGTTTACAATTCCTAACTTCTCACATCTCGGATGAAAGTTAATCTGCTAGTTTTCTACCTCCCTCTTGAAACTCCTTGTAAGATAATCCATTACCATTACAAATATTAATGGGGATATTGGATCTCCCTGCCTTAATCCCCTTTTCCCCGGAAAGAAACCAGTGCTACACCCATTTATATTTATGGAGTAACTACAGCCAGTTATACATTGTACCACCCAGTCAACAAATTTCTTAGGAAAGCTATAAGCATACAACATTTCTTCGACAAAATTCCAGCTAACAGTATCATAAGCTTTCCTAATATCTACTTTCATCATGCAACTTGGCAACACATTTTTCCTTCGATACAGTCTAATTAACTCTTGAGTTAAGAGTATATTATGCACAATTTTTCTATCCTGTATGAATGCACTCTGATTAAGGCGAACAAGGTCTGGAAGTACCTGACTTAGGCGGTTACTCAGTATTTTGGAGACACATTTGTATAGGGTATTGCAGAAGCTTATAGGTCTGTAATCCACAGCAGTCTTTGGAATCTCCACTTTTGGAATCAAAGAGATGACGGTAGTATTCAGCTGTTTTAGCAGTTTTCCATGTCGGAAAAAACTCTAACACAGCTTCTACTACATCAGTCCCAATGACGTCCCGGGCATATTTATAGATATCCGCTCCTGTAACCATCCGGTCCCGGGCTCTTCGTTTTGTCAATGGAAAACAGTGCCCCTTGACTTCTTCTTTTGACACCTCTCTGATTAACTGCAGTTGCTGGCATATTGAAAGCTTTGCACCAGCTGCAAAAATTTCTTGTTGTGCAGGGATCCTAGGTTCTTCCTTTCCCAACATGCTTTCAAAGTAGTGGACAAAATGACCTTCCCCCTGCTGCCAATCAAACTCAAGGACTCCATTTTCTTTTTGAAACGAGATTATTCTGTTCTGCATTCTTCTACCCCTTAGACTCGCATGAAAATAAGCACTGTTATGATCCCCTTTCTTAACCCATCTCTCTTTCACTTTCTGTTGCCGATAGCTATTAACCTATTTACTTTTCTGTAGCAATTCCACCACAGCTTCTTTCTCCTTCTTCTGTAATATCTCATCATCAGGGAATTGCACTAGTAATGCTTGAACACTCTCCAGATCCTTTCTAGCAGCCTGCATTTGACCTTCTATCTCTGTATAATGCTCTGAATTGAAAGCTACTAATTTTTTCTTCAACCTCTGTTTCTTCACCACCACCTGATATTGTTTTGTACCTTTATCCGGAACATGCCATTGTTCTGCAATTACTTCCTTCAACACTGGATTATGGCACCACATATTATAAAACTTAAAAGATGGTTTCCTTTTGTTCACTTCATATTGCCACTGAACCAGAATTGGGCAGTGATCTGAAACATATGCAGGAAGCACAGTAGCGAGACTTGCATCATACTGCTGCATCCATAATGCATTGACCATAACTCTATCCAACCGAGCTGCGATTCTTTCTCCTCCAATCCTCCTATTACACAATGAGTACAATTCTCTTTGTGTCTTCATATCCCATAGATGACAGTGACTTACTACCATTTGGAATGCATCAGTATCCAAACTTAGCTCATGAACACCACCTCTTTTCTCTGCTGCTTGCATAACACAGTTAAAATCACCAGCAGCTAACCATTCCTCTTGGATAGTGCCAGCAATATTGATTAGTTGATTCCATAGTCTGTTTCCCTGCTTGACTTGAGGATCTCCATATACAACCGTCAACTTGAACCTTCTTTGTTTTGCAATATGTCTAACTTCACAATGGACAAACTGCTCATCTGACATAAGTATCCTTACATCAAAATCTTGTTGTTTCCATAAAACTAATATTCTCCCCTTCTGCGCTCTTGTATGATTACTAAAGAAGCTATATTGAGTCCATTTCTTTACCATAAGGTCCTGTACTTTGTTGCCTGCTAACTTCGTTTCCACTAACCCTGCTAGTCCAACTTTATTAACAGAGAGGTTATGTATTACCTCTCTGTGTTTCAGAGGGCTGTTAAGCACTCTTACATTCCAAATAAAGAGGTTATCCATTGAGGCTAGGCCTCTGGATAGTATAATCTGCTGCTCCGCCATTCATTTGACCTCTTCCATCTTTGGTATTCCCCCTTTGTAGTAACTTAGAAACTGTATTAATACTGCCACTACTTCCTTGATGTTCCTCCATCACAGGCTGCTTCTCAGGCTCAGTAACTCTGACTTCCTGGCTAGCTTCTGCTGGCATTTGTGGTTGTACAACTATCTTTTCCTTCCATTCCAATCTCACTTTTGGTTTCTTTTCAGTTATCTCAGTTCTGCACTGCTACTCTGTGTGTCCAAACCCCTTGCACTTGGCACATTTCACAGGCAACCATTCAAACTGTAACTTCTGACTTATCACATTGCCATTGTCATTCCCAAAGTGGACTTCCATAGGCATCTGTTCCTTAACGTCCATTTCCACCAGTACTCTTGCAAATTCAGCACGATCTTTTTTAGCTGTAGTGTCATCCATCATCAAAGGAGATCCAACAGCACTCATGATTTTACTTAAAGCACCTGCACTCCAGTACTTTAGCTCTAGTTTAGGCAATTTTATCCAGACTGGAACCTTAGTGATCTCCTTCACTCTAATTCCCTCCTGAATAGACCACTCTTTAACAATAAACGGCTTATTATCAAAGAAATAGAGGTTATGTTTCAACACACTTTCGTTAGTTGTCATATCTGTGAATCGAACAACAAACAGACCATTTTCTAAGAGCAAGATCTTATCAACACCAAAATACCCCCAAATTCTACGAATGTATCCAGACATAACCTGATATGGTGGGTGGGATCCTAAAACATAGCATAAGATAGACGGTGCCCAATATTCAACTTCAGATTGGATATCCAATTGATTAATCTTTGCTACTTTCTGGTTCTCAATTACTCTCGGTTCAACAAAATGAAGCTTAGTTTCCACCTTCACCAATTGACTCCATGTCGATTTCGCTAGACTACCCTCCCTATTATTCACGCATTCCCCATTAGATTCATGTAATTCTAACCCATCTTTTACTATCTTCTGCTTACAAAGAATTTTCAGAGCTTGATTATGCAAAACTACAGAACCAGGGTACTTACCAGAATTCCCAATTTTGCTCGACGATGGCGATCCAAGTTGAATCGAAGACTCTCTGAGGCGAAAATTCCTCCATACATCGATGCAACTCTTCGTCCGGTTGTTCCTCCTCAATAGCTACTGCTTTCCCCTTCTTCTTCCATTGAGGTCTCGCCATGGCTGGCGTACGATATTATCGTGCACCGAGAGCACAAGTTTTTAGAAAGAGAAAAGCTATAAGAGTGTTCTCATCATTACTCAAAATAGAATGCAAATTGTTTAAATGTTGTTAATTGCATCATGTCATCTCCTCCTTTTTACTCAAATTAGTGACCCGGAGTTAAAAATGCTCTTCTCTAATTAGAGACATTGTATCAATGCCATGTTCTTTTTTTTATTTTATTTTATTTCTCTTTACTACTTTTTATAATCATAAAAATATACTATATAATTATTATAGAAATATTTATTTATTTTCAAACTCTATTTTACAGTTACTCTTTGCATATTTGTTACTCTTAATTGTATTTTTTATGAAAATTATACTCCCTCCGTCCCATAATTTTTGTCCAGTTTATCTAAATTGGTAAATATTATTTTTGGTCAAACTTAATTATATTTTGCCTTAAACTACCGGATATGCCCCTGTCTCCTCAATTCTTTAACCGGCAATAATACTACTACATGAGTTATGAACAAACAGAACTCGTGAACTCCTTCACCGAAATTAAAAAATAGATCCCCATTCAAAATTTTCAAACAAACAGAACTCCTTCACCTGTTCTTCACGATTGAACAAAAAAATTTCAAATTTTCAGATGAATAATTTCGAATCTTCCTACTCTAAGGTTGTTTATGGATGTAATTCTTCTCCACCGGAAAATTTGACGCCGGTATGGATTGCACGGAGCTCTTCCACTGTGAGGCCTTCGGTCGTGCCAATCGAACCAAATTTTTCGATGAAGTATCTCGAATTTGGAGAATCTTCATATTCTAAGTTTCAGTTTGGAGTTTATGAAACCAATTCCTCATTTTCACCTGAGTGTTCCTCACGGGTATCGATTGCTCGGAGTTCTTCAAAAAAGGAGTCATCATTTGTTCCAGATGAACGGAATTTTCAGATGAATTCAAACTGTTTTGGAGGAAGTTCTTACTATGAGCTTCAATTTGATGTTCCTCCATACGATTTTGATATCTCGCCGGGAATATCCTTTGAATCGATTAACGACGATTTCGATTCCGACTTTGACAGAGTTACTTCTGAGGTATCGGATTACAACTTTGAATCATATGAAACTACTTATTCTGATCCATATGAATCATATTTTCAAGAAGATGAGATTAAGAGGAAGCTCACGGATGCAGAGAGGAATCAGATTTTGGGGATGCTTGAGATTGAGTTCCAGAAAGGAAAACCACGGCATGGAACTTTTGTGTGGATTGCTGGTTATTTTGGTGTAACTGACCGGACTGTACGAAGGATTTGGGCGTGTGCAAAACAATGCTTGGCTAATGGAGAAAGGATTGAAGTTGAGCGTAGATCAAAACGGGCTGGCAGGAATGTGCTAGATCTAGATTTTGAAGAGATTAAGAAGGTTCCTCTAAGACGTAGGAGTAACATCCGGTCACTTGCCAATCAAATGGAAATAGCTCGGTCGACACTCCACCGGCGGATCAAAGCAGGTCAGATTATTGTTCACTCTAATGCAATTAAACCATTTCTCACCGAAGATAATAAGATAAAGAGGCTTCAGTTTTGTTTGTCAATGCTTGAAGAGTATACACTGAGTAGTTTTCCTATATTTAAGGAGATGTTTAACATCTTTCATCTTGATGAAAAATGGTTCTATTTGACCGAGGGGTCTACGAGATTTTATTTGCATCCGATTGAACCTCCGCCTGATAGATTTTGTAAAAATAAAAAGTTTATTCAGAAAGTGATGTTCCTGGCTGTTGTGTGTAGGCCTCACTTTGATTGGTGGGGTAATTGTGTGTTTGATGGAAAAATTGGAATATTTCCATTCGTAGAGAAGGTTCCAGCTAAGAGAAACAGTAAGAATCGGCCAGCTGGAACTTTGGAAACAAAGCCGATGTGTCCTGTCAATAGAGAGGTTTATCGTAGATACTTGATCGACAAAGTTTTGCCAGCCATATGTGCCAAATGGCCGAGGGGATTACCTGGTCCTATCTTCATTCAGTAGGATAATGCCAAGCCACACATTGCCCCAACCGATGTGGAGTTTATTGAAGCAGTTAGGACATCGGGTATTGATATTCGTTTAATGTATCAGCTCCCAAATAGCCCTGATCTTAATGTTCTCGATCTTGGTTATTTCGAAGCCATCCAAGTGCTACAACACCAAGAAGCACCGAGAACAGTTGATGAATTGCTTTTAGCGGTGGAGAAATCCTTCAATGACTTGCATTACAAGAGTCTAAATCATGTTTTCTTGACCTTACAACAATGTATGGTGGAAGTCATGAGAGTTTTTGGAAGCAATGGTTATAAAATACCTCATTTGGGAAAAGATAAATTAGCAAGAGATGGACAGCTTCCGACACGAATGGCTTGTGACAGGGAACTTGTTCAAAAAGTGATGCAATATTTACATGATCACTCATAGAAGGTGAGAAAAGTATTGGTTTATGATTACTAATTAGTTTTGTTTGTAACTTATGATGGCAACCATTTGGATGTAGAAAGTATGGTATACTTCTTTGATTGTAAAACTTATTGGAGCGAGTGTTGCTATAGAGCATTGCATTCTGTGTTTTAAGATCATACCAAACTCGGTCAAGTATCATAGATATGTTTGGATAGATTTTGACCTATCCTAGCTATACTCTAAATATGTATTGTTAAGTAATACTCCTTATCTTTTTGTTTATTCAGAGATGATGTTATTGTCTTGTTGGTGTTTCGAATTTTGGCTCTTTCTGTTTCAGTTTTTCAAGATTGCCGTAGAATGTGGTTCATTATATTTGCAAATTGGGAGTAGTTCCTATAGGTGAGGTTAGGAATGATACTCCTCTCTGTTGAGGTTTCATGAATGTTCAGTTGCTCAGCAAAAAACTCTCAGAGAATTTTTAGCTGCGGCAGCAGACTGTTTAATGTTTTCAATCACCCCCTTCTCATCATCATCCTGCTATGGCTGCTGATCATGACCCTTGATTTCTGTTGTGCCATTTCTCTGTTGGCAGGCCATATATTTTGACATTATCTGTTAACCTAATCTATTTGGCTGTGATTTTGTAATCGAAGAGTGAGTTAAATCATGCTTGTGCTCTATGTTGGTGGGATACATGGGACATGGTTCTTGTTTTTGTTGGGCTTTAGTCTGCTTCTATGGCCTTCAAATATTTTCACCCCCTCTGCAGTAGATGGTTTCTAGTTTGCAAGATGACAAAGGAAATGGGAAAGACAAGTTTCGAGTTGTTGCTATATATTCCTGTTTCAGCTGCAAGTAGTTAACAGTTTGCACTTTACAGTTTGCAAGGAGTATACTCTTTGTGGCCTGCTAGCTTTGGAATTTCGAATGATGCATAGCATTTTTGAAATTTGTGTTTTTTTAGCTTAGAAAGCAGTGATATGTTTGCTGTTGCTGGATTTGCATTCTCTTTTTACAAATATGCTGCTGCTTTTCTTTCTCGAACTCAGTTGAAATATCATAGTTTAAAGGCTCAAGATTTACACAGTCATGATTGGTCTGTTCAATATCAATTCAGCAGATTCCTATTGGTTTGCCAAGCTTCAGGTCCTAATTGCAACACATTGCACATCCTACGTTCTGCACATTCTTATTCCAGAATGACAGGAAGTAGAACTGCGAACCTCATATCAAAGGATCTTTTAGCAGAAATATAGAGATTTTGCCACATTTGTTGTCATAGATTTTGATTTGGAACATCTTTATGAGAATTTGTATATCCTCTATCATTGATATTTGATACAAACAAATTGCAAGTCAAAAAACAGCTAAAAAAAGGCTTTTCATTTGGCTTCTCAGAAGGAAGAAGGAAAACAGAGTTTATTCGTCCTGAAATTCTCTCTCGTATCCATATTCTGTTGTACTAAAGAGAGTATTACTTGCTACTTCATGCTACATAGATCACTAAATTACACATCTAATGAGCTCTATTCTTTTTCAAACAACTATTGTTCTAAACACATTCGCATGCGAATCTAATCCAACTCTCTGAGGGTGACCAATGCTTCATATCCTGAATGACCAAGGGCGTAGGTTACAAAATTGTTCACTATGGTTTCTCCGTACTTTGGGGGATTCTCTAACCAGAGCCATCAGAGACACCACCTTTGCCCACTCTAGATTGGTTCACGTCAGCTTTAATAGAATCAGAATCCTCAATTCTATGATCCCCGAACACTTCTTCAGCTTCACCACTCTCTCATGCATAGCAACTGCAATATCACAACTACCAAGAAGCTCTCCCTTACAGTACAACTGCAGAAATGTAGGCCAAATGGAGAACTTCTTCAATCCTCACGAACCACATGGTCCCTCAGTATGTTAAAGCTTCCAAATTGGACTTTTTCTCTCTTCAAGATTTGAACAAGCTTCTGGCTGAAACCACATTCGGGTGTTTCATAAAGAGAACATTAATAAAGTCTTTAGAAATCCACTAACAGCGAGAAAATGAAGGCAGAAAACAGAGATAACAAGATTAATAAAGTCTTCATCCCACATACACTTCTAAATTGAGTAAAAAAAAATGCATATTTTCTACACTCCCTACACATTGAACAGTCTCCTATACTCATGTCCAAACCAACTTATGCCTGCATCTTCATCTATTGAAATCACCCCTAGATTATTTGAGTCCAAGTTAAAGTGCATGAAAGCATGAGACTTAAGGTATTCATGAAACATTCCAATGTCAGTAACAACATCACATCTTGTTTGTGACAGATATCATCTGAACTCAGCATAATACCACAAAGGAAATCACAACAAAAAAAAAAAATTACTCCCTCAAAGCTAACATCGAGAATCCTTTAATCAATTTCAATCACTTGATCACTTGGTCCTGCACAATGACAAGAGGAATTTGCAGGTAATTAGCCAATTTTACACCAAACAATACAAAACAAACAAACCAAATGATTAAGAAAAACAGAATGTTGGAGGTTCAGAAGCATAGAGCAAAGAGTAAAAACCTTGACTTTGGAAAGAATAAGAACGCATGTCGTTCTTGCCACTCAGATAGATCATTGTTAACGTTTCCAGATAAGTCATCACCTCCCTTTACTATCCCTCCTTCCACATCTGCATCTGCATCAGCGAATATAACACAAACATCAAATTAGTCAATTTCCTTAAGCAAATAATCAAAAACCAAACAACAACCAAGCTCAACGAAACTGAATTACAAATCTCTTCAAGAAATGCCAATTTTATTGATGAATTTAAATCAACTGGAGAACCCAATTCCTAATCATCAATAAAATCCCTATTTCCATTTAACTTCAGTTTGAATGCTAAATCTAACCACAAATTAACAAATTGAAAGTCAGAATTCTTTGAAAGAAAAAAGGAAAGCCTACGATTCCAGAAAAGATATTGAGTCTACGAATCCAAAACCCAATCAACGTCACCGCTGCAAAGGATACCAAACGAATATAACAATGAAAATTCCCAATTTTGAAAAAGTAGAAAATACAGAACAAATCAATACCGTAATATTCAGATGGAAAAGAAAGATCTCTTCACATATTCCCTGGAAAAGAAAGATCTTCACATATTCCCTTCCGATTTCATCAATAAAATCCCTAGTTTCATTTAACTTCATTTTGAACACTAACTCTAACCACAATTGAAATTGAAAGTCAGATTTCTTCAAAAGAAAAAAAAAGAGAAGCCCAATTCCAGAAACGGTAATGAGTTGACAAATATCCAAAACACAATCAACGTCACTGTTCTAAAGATGACACCCAAATTTAACAATGAAAGTTTTCAATTTTGAAAACCAGAAGAACACTAACCAAATCTTAGATATTCAAACGGTCGAGAACCACCGGCCACCTCGTCCTCATCGCCGCTTTGCGCCGTTGGAGTATGGGCTGCTCATCGCCGCTTAGCCGTCGGGAGTATGGGCTGCTATTGCGTTGTGTTCACTTTACTGTGTGTTGTGTTATGTGTATAGCAAACCGGATAAAATGATAGACTAAAGGGCAAACATGTAACTTACTTCATAAAAAGTCAAATTGGACAATAATTTTGGGACGAAACTTTTTTGGCAAAGTGGACAAAAATTATGGGACGGAGGGAGTATTAATTTTTTTAATCATATAGTTTAAGAATAACGATACTATTTTTTTAATTTATTTTAAGGTTATAGGATAAGGCAAATTTTGAGGTAAAAAAACCAATTTTTCCTTTGTTTTCTCTTTGAAAGTAGAACTCAACGTTAACAAATATTTCCATGAGTTGTCGTCTATGACAGCATGATTGGCATTGCTTACGTTATTTTGATCTAGCTAATCTTTGTCAATTTTCTTGAAAATTCTTGTTTGTTGCCATCGATTAATTTGGCATTTAGATTCATGGTAATAGTAACTTTGAATTGTGTAGTTGCTACAGCTTTGACTAATAATTGATTCGTAAATCTCGTACTAACTTAGATCATATATATATTATTATAAAGTCTGCATTTTTTACATGGTGGAGTCGAGATGTTGCATACTAGTAACAGAAAAAGGTTAGTCCTCATTCTTTAAGCAAAAAGTTTAATAAATCGTAGATTGTTGCAACTTGTAAGGCCTATGAACTGCCATTTTTACGTCAATCATTCTTCTTCTTCACAATTTGATGTTTTATTATATATTCACTCATTTATGAACTTACCAGTAATAAAAGAAATTTTATATTATAATTCACACACGTCCTAGAAAGATAATCCACATTATAATTCACCCACTCGATTGAAAGAATTTATCTCTTTACATAACTTATCAAAAAAATACAGAGATTTGAAATGTTGTCTATCAAGAGATATTTGACATCACCATAAAATAAGATATTTGTCTACCTTTTATATTTGTTTCGATAGTTATAAATTTATTATTCAATATGGAAAGTATAAGAATGTTTGCAATATCAATTAATCTAATCGCTAATAATTAATTTTTTCTAATTTAAAAAACTCTAAAATAATATTAACAAAAACCAACTTTACCTTAAAATAAACTATTTGTACAAGAATATTTATAGTATGCATCGTGCAATGCTCAAGCACTTGTTAATAAAAAATACATTAAATATCACATTTTATTTATTTTTTAAACGGGTGTAAATAAGATAGGACAAAGTATCACCCTATGACTACAAACATTTAAAATCAATGTATAAATAAATAAAAAAATTAAAATATAATAGTTTGGGTATAAAATTTTATTAGTGTGTGTGTACGTCTGGGAGAGCTCATATTGAGAATCATCGGAAAAGGCTAAATTTAAGGCAAGAATTGAATGATATCTTACTATATTAGAAACAAAAACCACACTTAACAGAAAGTACCACCATTTGCCATGTGTCATTTTCGCACCATAATTTTAAAATAAATTTTTATTTCCACATCTCCTAGACGTAAAACGCAAATGCAGTTCAAATTCACCTCCACCTCCTATTTTCGCCAAAAAAAAACCACGGATTCATAAAAACCCCAAATCCTCATCCCCATCACGACAATCGACTCTCTAATCAATCCCTTCTCCACAATAAAAAAAAATTCCTCATCAATCATCAATTGAGAATATGTGGTAAAATATACTCCTTTCCTATCAACTACATCCTAATCGGATAAAATTTCGACTTCAAAAAATATTTTCTTTACCTCTCTACATAAACACAAAGGGGAAAAAAAATTCTCATTGATCTTGATTCGACCGTTGTGGTGGTGCCATTGCAGGTATTAAAATTTAAATGATTTTATTTCCACAGATTATTTGTTTGGTTATTTTTTGTTTTTCCCGTTCAAGAATAGTGTTATTACTATTATTTTTATGCGTCAAACAGTTACAGATACCGTAGCCGTTGTCAGGTAATATGATATGATTTCTAATATGGTTAGTTAGCCTAAAATTTTTGTATAATTTTAGTTCTGTTTAGATTGAATTTGTTAATTGGATTTTTGTTACAAAGTTTGATTTTTTAAATTTCTTTTTTATGTTTCATTCAATTAGAGTGGTTTTCTTTTTTTTAATTATTATGGTCAGTTATGAAGTGTATTTTTTCTTTGTTTAATTGCTTTTGATTTTGTTTCATACTCCCAGTTGACCAATCATTATTATTATTATTTTATTTTATTTGCAAATGAAGCGCGTTTTTTTTTTTTTTTTTCGGGCTTTCAAGAATATACTTTTTTGGATTTGGTTTTTGGACTTTTTTTAGTTCCTCATCATATAAATAGTTCATGTCGCTTCTTCTAAATAATTTATGGGAAAGCCTTTTATGAATTTGAGGTAGAGAGAGAAGGAATGATGTTTCTATATTTATTTGTGTTTTTATACATCAACTTTACTTACAGAAAAAAAATAAATTTCTCAATTTTTAATGGTCTATCTTTTACTTTTTTTTTATTTGCCAGTTATGAAGTATTGATTTGAAACAACCAATGGAGAACATCAATAAATTATCTTACTAATATTTAAACTTATTAGGATGCTTTTATATTTTGCCTAGCATTTATATCAAGACATATATTTGATAAAGTTTATTTATATTTAAGAAGTAACACTTATAAAACATTTCTAAAATTTTCAAACATTTCTAAAACGTACCGGACCAAATACAATTTCTTTTTTTGCCATATACAAACATTTCTATCATCACACTTATAAAACATTTCTAAATTCTTCAAACATTTCTAAAATATATCGGGTCAAATACAAAATGTTTGTATTTTTATGCCAAATACAAACATTTCTATGATCACACTTATAAAACATTTCTAAATTTTTCAAACATTTCTAAGATATATTGGGCCAGGGTCGCGTATTGCGCGACCAGACATCACTAGAAATGGCACCACCATAAGTAAATGTTAGAAAATATGATCAAATATATGTCTTGAATTAAATGCTAGACATAAGCAATAGGTAACTGTGGATGTATTTTCTTAAATGTTACAATTTCATGGCATGTGAAGGAATAGAAACTTTACTTGGTAATTTTGAGAATGGTGAGCTTCTTTTCTTAACTGACAGCTACTTGCTTTCTTTCATTTCAGGGAGATGGATCTTTTGCTTGTTCCATATTGGGCTGACCGTGAGTTGGATGTCATACAGTGGCCTCCTTTTTTACTTGCTAGCAAGGTTTCTGTTCTATTTCTGACATCTAAATGGAATTTTCTCTTCATTTCTTCATTACTCTGTGTCGACACGATGAGTTTCTTTCATTTCTTCCTGCTAGTCGCATTTCTTTTGACCTTTGTTGTGTTAAGAAAGTTTACGCCTGTTTATTTTCATTGAAAATTGATTGTGTAGATTCCGATAGCAGTTGATATGGCTAAAGATAGCAATGGCAAGGATCGTGAACTGAAAAAGAGGATTTCTGCTGATAATTACATGTCTTTTGCTGTTAGTGAGTGCTACAAGTCATTTCGAAACATAATAATGTTTCTGGTCAGAGGTGACCGAGAAAAGGAGTAAGTTTGACATATTTGGCTAATGAAACGAATTCTTCACTGTTACTTGGCAGGTCTTGTTTTGATTTATGTTACTGTTTTTATTTGTTTCAGGGTTATTGAGTATATATTTTTGGAAGTTGACAAGCATATTGAAGCTGGTGATATTGCGAATGAATATAAGCTGAGTGCTCTCCCTGGCCTTTATGACCTCTTTATCAAGCTTATCAAGTTCTTGGTGAGTCTTTTAGAAGCTTAGCAATGGCATCGTTTTGCCTTGTTCACCCCTGTAGAAGTTGTGGTTTCATTTTTGTGGAGGTTTGATGCCCGGCCTTAGAGTTTCACGTAAAGCTTGATGTTCCTGTTTGCAGCTTGAGAATAAGCAGGAAGATAGGGATCAAGTTGTGATTCTTTTCCAAGATATGCTAGAAGTTGTGACACGAGATATAATGATGGAGGACCATATATCCAGGTGAAGCTTCATAAAGTTTGTTAGTTCCTCCATTATTACTATTGCATGCACTTCTTAGATCTGACATCATTATGTAAACAGCTTGGTGGATTCTATCCATGGGAATTCAGGACATGAAGGAATGATTCCCCTTGATCAACAGTATCAATTATTTGCCTCTGCGGAGCCATCAAATTTCCAACTCCTGAATCAGAAGCTTGGAAAGAGAAGGTAATCTCCTTGAAGGTTCTAAAATTGGTAGACAAATTATTATGAAGGATGAACTTTTGAATTTTAAGCTATCAATAATTTGTTGACACTCCAAATTTCTTTTTGTTACAGATCAAGCGGTTATATTTGCTTCTTACAGTGAAGGAGTCAGCTATGGATGTACCATCGAACTTAGAAGCTAGAAGGCGTATTTCCTTCTTCTCTAATTCACTATTCATGGACATGCCTTTAGCACCTAAAGTCCGCAATATGCTTTCATTTTCGTAAGTGGGAAGCTCTATTTGTTTAATTATGGCTTGCTGTTTCTGGTAAACAAATACAGAGGTTATCTGCATAATTTTGAGTAGTTATACAAAGTCTTATTACTCTTTTAACCATCCTTACGTGCATGACAAATTACTTTTTATGTACAAGATGTCTCTCACGTACTATGAATGCCCTTGATGTTCATCTGAAACTGTGAGTTTGAGCACATGATGAGATGTTTAAATGTTGCAATTGACTAAACAAGTTTTGATTAACTTAGTTCCCCCTTAGGCTGTCAAAATAATTGAGCCCAATTTTTTCTAAGAAAATTCTGCATTTGAAATCTGAAACTGTTCTGATGAGTTTTTCTCCAGAGTGAACTAGTGGAGTTTTGTTCTTACCCCTGCCAGCTTGGATTTTGGTTCCTAATAACGTTTTATTTTTTGTTTCTTTGGTAGTATTTTAACTCCTTACTACACAGAGGAGGTGCTGTTTTCATTGCACGATCTGGAAGTGCCGAATGAAGATGGGGTTTCTATCCTGTTTTACCTGCAAAAAATCTTTCCAGGTTTGTGTGAGCCATCAGTTTTCGGTTGTGCGTGCTTTGCTTTCCGTTAACCCGTCCAAACACGTGCAGACGAGTGGACCAATTTCCTTGAAAGAGTAAAATGCAACAATGAGGAAGAACTTAGAGGTTCCGATGAATTAGAGGAACAGATGCGACTTTGGGCTTCATACAGAGGCCAGACATTAACCAAAACTGGTACTAAATGCTTTCTTCTCCAAGTTTTATTTGGTTCTTATGCGAATAGGTTGCGTCCATCTAGTCTTTTATTATTATTTAACTTTTTAATTGTCACTGGTTCTTGTGTTTAACACAAGTAATGATTTTCAGTTCGAGGCATGATGTACTATCGGAAAGCCCTTGAACTTCAAGCATTCCTAGATATGGCCAAGGATGAAGGTGACTGACCTATTCCTGAATTATATTAGTTTCATCTTCTATATCCGGAAGCTACGCATGATTGCAAGGAATGATTTACATATTATGTTATTTCAATCAGATTTGATGGAAGGATACAAGGCTATTGAGTTAAATGAGGATCAGATGAAGGGAGTGTTAGTGAATAAACTTGTTTGGTACAAAATTATATTGGGTCATCCAATTTAATTAGTTAGATCATTAGTCTTTTGTTTAAAATTGAGCCTAAATCCAATATGAAGAATAGACTAGAAAGAGATGATGAAAGTAGTAGAAACTTCTACTAAAATATCTAGATATTGTAGAATAATCAATAAAAATATCTAGAGAAAATATCTAGATATTAGTAAGGAAATTTCTAGATATTATGTGTAGGAGGAAAATCTTGAAAGTATGTAGAATCTTCCATGAACTCCTATAAATAGGAGTTAACCCCCTTATGTAAGGTGTATAGAGAGGTTGTATGAGTTATTAAGCTAAAAGCTTAATACAATCCTTTCCACTTTGTTCCTTTTACTACAAAGTAGTGAACCTCCCTTTCTCCCAAAATTTCCTTCTCTTTCATTTACACTTCCTAAACTTATAACCTAAAAGGTCTCTTCCTCATAACCCAAAAGGTTCTTTTGCTAACAAACTGGTATCAGAGCTGGTGTTGATCCAGCTTTGAAGTAATAAGATGGCAAGTGGAATAATCTCTTTCCAATTTCTTCAACTTACCAAAGAAAACTATGGTAAGTGGTGTATTCGAATGAAGGCGATCTTGGGCTCTCATGAGGTATGGGAGATTGTTGAGAAAGGTTATGAGAAACCTCTAGATGAGGCTTCTTTGACTCCTGCCCAAAAGGAGGAACTCAACAAAGCAAGGAGAAAGGATCAACAAGCTCTTTCACTTATCCATCAATGTCTAGATGATTCCATGTTCGAGAGGGTGGCAAATGCTTCTACATCAAAGGAGGCTTGGGATATTCTAGAGAATGCTAATAGAGGCATTGAGAAGGTGAAAAAGATACGTCTTCAAACTCTTAGAGGAGAATTTGAAGCTTTACAAATGGAGGAGTCCGAATCTGTTTCAAATTATTGTTCTCGTGTCTTGAAAGTGTCAAATGAGATGAAGAGGAATGGAGAAAGCTTGAGTGACACAAGAGTGATAAAAAAAATTTATCGCTCTTTGACACCAAGCTTTGATTATAATGTGGTAGCGATAGAGGAGTCAAAAGATCTTGACTCTATGACCATTGATCAACTCATGGGTACTTTAGTAGCCCATGAAGAGAAACTAAAGAAGAGAAGGCCCAAAGAATCTTTGGAGCAAGCTCTCTACACAAAACTCTCTTTCAAAGAAAGAGATGGAGGCTTTGGACGTGGGAGAGGCCTTGGACGAGGCAATGGTGGATTTCAAGGACGTGGACGAGGAAGGGCTCGAGGTGGCTACGTTCAATCCACCAAGAATGACAATAACAAAGGTTCTCAATCTACAAGAAGTCGTGGAAGAGGTATGAAGTTTCAGAAAGGAGGTAAATCTCGAATCCAATGCTTTAATTGCCAAGAATATGGTCACTATGCAAGTGAGTGTAGGAATTCTAGTCAAGTAAAAGAGAAAGCCAATCTTATGGAGGTTAAAGATGAAGTTCAACTCACTCTCTTAATGGCAAGACACGAGGACGAAGGAAAGAAGAAGACGTGGTATCTTGACTCATTGCGAGTAACCACATGACTGGGGAAAAAAGGTTGTTCGTAGACATGGAACCAGCCAAAGGGTACGTGATGTTTGGAGATGATTCTAGAGCAAGGGTTGAAGGCAAAGGTAAGATACTAATCCTTGCTAAAGATGGAAGTCACCAATACATCTCAGAAGTTTATTATGTTCCAAGTCTTAAGAGAAATATCTTGAGCTTGGGACAACTTGTGGAGAAAAATTACGATATTCATTTGAAAGATCGTAGTGCCATAGTTAAGGATCCAGAAGGAAAATTGATTACCATTGTGCCAATGACAAGCAATAGAATGTTCTTTTTGAACATTCAACATGAGAATTGCATGAAAGCATGCTTGAAGGATGATTCGTGGATTTGGCACATGAGGTATGGTCATTTAAATTTTGGTGACTTGAAAATGTTATCTGCCAAATGCATGGTGAAAGGAATACCTCCTATCAATCAGCCCAATCAAGTATGTGAAGGATGCTTACCTGGGAAGCATTCGAGGAGTGCTTTCCCAAAAGAAGCAACATCAAGAGCTAAGGAGCCTTTAAAACTCATCCATACAGACTTGTGTGGTCCTATCTCTCCGCCATCCCATTGTAAGAACACCTACTTCATTCTATTTATTGATGATTTCTCTCGAAAGACTTGGGTGTATTTTTTGAAGGAGAAATCACAAGCCTTTGATACCTTTAAGACATTTAAGGCTGTGGTGGAGAAGGAGAAAGGCTTGAAAATCAAAGCCTTAAAGTCTGATAGAGGTGGAGAATTCACATCAAGTGAATTCACCAAATTCTGTGAAGAACATGGGATTAGACGATTCCTTACCGCTCCTTACTCTCCGCAACAAAACGGAGTTGCGGAAAGGAAGAATAGAACCATTCTCAATATGGTTTGTAGCATGCTAAAGAGCAAGAAGATGCCAAAGGAGTTATGGGCTGAAAGAGTTGATTGTGCAGTATACCTACTAAATCGATGTCCAACGAAGAGTCTAGAAGACAAGACTCCACAAGAAGCATGGAATGGGACAAAGCCCACAGTAAATCACCTACGTGTGTTTGGGAGTATAGCATATGCCCATGTACCAAGCCAAAAGCGGTGCAAACTTGATGATCAAAGCGAGAAGCATGTCTTTGTTGGTTACGACAAACAGTCAAAAGGCTATAAGCTCTACAATCCAGTCACGAACAAAATTATTGTGAGTAGAGATGTAGAGTTTGATGAAGAAGGAACCTGGGATTGGAATATTGAAGGTGGTGAAAGCTACGACTTCCTTCCTGTCATCCACGAATACGATGATGAAACTAGTGATGCGGGTGAAAATACTCAGCGACCTCAAAGTCCACGTTCACCTTTGAATGAAGAGTCACAAAGGACGAGAAGCCTACAAGAGATCTATGAGGAAACAGAACGCATAGAGGCTCTCACACTCTTCTGCCTTTATGCTGACTGTGAACCTCTAGGTTACAAAGAGGCAGCAAGGAACGAGAAGTGGAGACACGCTATGGATGAGGAAATAAGATCCATAGAAAAGAATCAAACTTGGGAGCTAGCCTCTCTTCCAAAAGGCCACAAAGCAATTGGAGTAAAGTGGGTGTTAAAAGCAAAGAAGAACGCTAAAGGAGAAGTTGAGAAGTACAAAGCAAGACTTGTCACCAAAGGCTACAAGTAGAGGCGTGGCATTGACTACGAAGAGGTATTTGCTCCTGTTGCTCGCTTGGAGACTATCAGGTTAGTAATTTCTATCGCTGCCCAAAATAGATGGAAAATCCATCAAATGGACGTAAAGTCTGCATTCTTAAATGGCTTTCTTGAAGAAGAAATATATGTGGAGCAGCCAGAAGGATATGTGATCAAAGGCCATGAGAATAAAGTTCTCAGGCTAAGGAAGGCTCTATATGGTTTGAAACAAGCACCAAGAGCCTGGAATACAAGAATTGATCACTATTTTCAGGAAAACAGTTTCAAGAAATGTCCAAGTGAACATGCACTCTATGTGAAGTTTTCTAGCAATGGAGATATGTTACTTGTTTGTTTGTACGTGGATGATCTCATCTTCACAGGAAATTCGCCTAGCATGATCGAAGATTTCAAGAAGGCAATCACTAAAGAGTTTGAGATGACTGATATAGGACTTATGTCCTATTATCTTGGCATCGAGATCAAGCAATTGGATGATGGAATCTTCATCTCTCAACAAAGATACGCTAAGGAAGTTCTTAAGAAATTTGGCATGGAGAAGTGCAAGCCAATAGCCACCCCCATTGAATATGGAGCAAAGCTCTCAAAAGATGATGAAGGAGATGTTGTAGATCCAACTCACTTCAAGAGCCTTGTTGGAAGCCTACGTTATTTAACATGCACAAGGCCTGATATCCTCTTTGCTGTGGGACTTATCAGTCGATTTATGGAAGCACCTACTACGACACACTTGAAGGCTGCCAGGAGGATACTTCGCTACATCAAAGGTACTATTGATCTTGGCTTGTTATATTCCTAATGTGATGACTTCAACCTTGTGGGAATCAGTGATAGTGACTAGTCTGGAGATTTGAGCGAACGGAAAAGTACTACTGGATTCGCATTCTTCCTTGGCAACACTGCCTTTACATGGGTTTCTAGGAAACAACCTATAGTCACCTTGTCATCATGCGAGGCCGAGTACGTAGCAGCAGTATCATGTGTATGTCATGCTATCTGGATTAGGAGCATGTTGAAGGAGTTAAGTATGCCACAAGGAGAAGCAACAGAGATATATGTTCACAACAAGTCAGCCATCGATCTGGCAAAGAATCCAGTCTACCATGATTGAAGCAAGCATATTGATACAAGGTACCACTTCATAAGGGAATGTGTGGTCAAGAGGATCGTTGAGTTGAAGCATACAAGATCACGTGATCAAGTTGTAGATATTTTCACCAAACCACTCAAATGAGAAGACTTTACAAGATTGAGGATAATGCTTAGAGTCACCAAACCAAGTTTAAAGGGGGGTGTTAGTGAATAAACTTGTTTGGTACAAAATTATATTGGGTCATCCAATTTAATTACTTAGATCATTAGTCTTTTGTTTAAAATTGAGCCCAAATCTAATATGAAGAATAGACTAGAAAGAGATGATGAAAGTAGTAGAAACTTCTACTAAAATATCTAGATATTGTAGAATAATCAATAAAAATATCTAGAGGAAATATCTAGATATTAGTAAGGAAATTTCTAGATATTATGTGTAGGAGAAAAATCTTGAAAGTATGTAGAATCTTCCATGAACTCCTATAAATAGGAGTTAACCCCCTTATGTAAGGTGTGTAGAGAAGTTGTATGAGTTATTAAGCTAAAAGCTTAATACAATCCTTTCCACTTTGTTCCTTTTACTACAAAGTAGTGAAGCTCCCTTTCTTACAAAATTTCCTTCTCTTTCATTTCCACTTCCTAAACCTATAACCTAAAAGGTCTCTTCCTCATAACCCAAAGGGTTCTTTTGCTAAGAGGGAGAGCGTTCACTTTGGACGCAATGTCAAGCAATGGCTGACATGAAGTTCACATACGTCATTTCTTGCCAACTATATGGGATTCACAAAAGATCTGGCGATCCTCGTGCTCAGGATATTTTGAGACTGATGATCACGTACGTGTCATTTTCAGCTTTTTATTATGTAAATATTTAACACATGAATGATCTGCATAAGTTTTTTCCTTCCATAGGTACCCATCACTTCGGGTGGCATATATTGATGAAGTCGAAGAACCAAGTAAAGATAGGTCTAAGAAAGTCAATCAGAAGGTCTACTATTCCACTCTTGTCAAGGCCGCTATGCCAAAATCAAATTCTTCAGATCTAGGACAAAATTTGGACCATGTGACATTCTAGATCTTAAATATGATTCAATATTGGCAGAATTGACCCTCAAAATGCTCTAGTTCAGTTGAAAAGATTTCAGAGTTAGTTGTATTGATCTTTTGTCTTTCCGTCTAAAGTTCTTTCAAGCATCAGTTTAATGTTATATAGATTTCTCTGGTAGAAACGGAATAGTGTCATTATTTATGAGCTGACAAGTGTTTTCTTTGTTATTGACTACGTAATTTAGACAAAAACGGAATTGTGATTATGCCTGATTTATGACATTCAATTCCACTTGCAGATAATTTATCGGATAAAACTTCCAGGACCTGCCATCTTGGGTGAAGAGAAAACCTGAAAACCAGAATCATGCCATTATCTTCACTCGTGGAGAAGGTTTACAAACAATAGATATGAATCAGGTACTTTAGTCTTACCTGCTACATTTCTAACTCAATTAGGTACTCTCCTAACAGAGCATTTATCTAAAGGACAGTTACATGGAAGAAGCATTAAAGATGAGGAACTTGCTTCAAGAATTTCTTAAAAGGCATGATGGTGTCCGATATCCTTCAATTCTTGGGTTGAGGGAGCACATATTCACTGGAAGGTAGGTATTACGGTACTTGTTTTCAATCAATGATTTGGACGTTCGTACGATTTGATGAAGTCTCTTCCATCTACTGCAGTGTTTCATCTCTTACTTGGTTTATGTCTAACCAAGAAACTAGTTTTGTGACAATTGGTGAAAGATTGTTGGCTAACCCTCTGAAGTAAGCTCGCTTTCGCTCTCTCTCTCTCTCTCTCTCTCTCTTCAAACAACACCCACCCACCCCCCCCCAATTCCATAGTTGCAACTCCTCAAATCTCCTTTATACTTTACCAGCTTCTTTACAAATCAATTAACTAATACAATGTATATTTTCATCTCTTTTATAGGGCTCGGTTTCATTATGGTCATCCGGATGTTTTTGATAGATTATTCCACCTCACTAGAGGTGGAGTTAATAAAGCTTCAAAGATCATCAACCTCAGTGAAGACATCTTTGCTGGTACCTTTCTAATGACGAAGTTGCAATCACCACTAAGAAGTGTTCATCTGTCATTTCTCTTACCACGATACTCTCTGGGAAAATGCAGGTTTTAATTCTACCCTTCGGGAAGGCAATGTGACTCACCATGAGTACATACAAGTTGGGAAAGGAAGAGATGTTGGTCTTAATCAGATTTCTCTTTTGAAGCTAAAATTGCTAATGGAAATGGCGAGCAAACGCTGAGCCGTGATCTGTATGAGCTTGGACATCGTTTTGATTTCTTCCGAATGCTATCTTGCTATTTCACAACCATTGGTTTCTACTTGATACTCGGTATAGTAACAACTTCAATTTGTTTTGTTCAGTTCATGGGTTGCAGTAAATTTTTGATATTCTGTCGTATTTCCTATTTTTGTGCGATAACTGTCCTCACAGTGTATGTATTCCTCTATGGACGTCTTTATCTGGTTCTTAGTGGACTTGAAGAAGGATTAAATAACCAACCAGCTATTAGAGACCACAAGCCTCTTCAAGTGGCTCTTGCTTCTCAATCTTTTGTGCAAATTGGAGTCTGATGGCCTTACCTATGATGATGGAAATAGGTCTTGAAAGGGGCTTTCGAACAGCACTTAGTGACTTTGTGCGATGCGATTGTAGTTGGCACCGATTTTCTTCACTTTTTCCCTTGGAACTAAGACTCACTACTATGGAAGAACCTTGCTTCATGGCGGAGCAATGTACCGAGCCACAGGCCGTGGATTTGTCGTGTTTCATGCCAATTTGCAGATAATTACCGGCTCTATTCTCGTAGTCACTTTGTCAAGGGGCTTGAGCTCATGATATTGCTCATTGTGTATGAAATTTTTGGTCAGTCTTATAGAAGTCCTCTTGCATACATCTTGATCACTGTGTCCATGTGGTTTATGGTGGGCACTTGGCTTTTTGCTCCATTTCTATTCAATCCGTCTGGATTTGAGTGGCAAAAGATTGTTGATGACTGGACGGATTGGAACAAGTGGATCAGTAACCACATGGTAAATGGTGGTTCTTTATCTTAACGACCGACCTCTTGAGCTCCGGTGTCAATCCGGGGACCACGATCTAGGATACCACTTCACTGTTAGGAATTAAGACTACAACTGGAGTTTTTAGTGTTAATTTTCGTGGTACAACTTTATACTTCTACCATTTTTACTGGAAAGATAAGTGGGTGGTTATTCTTGGTGGAAAGTCAGAGACGATGGCTTCTACTTTTCTACAATTGATACTCCTTCATCGAAGCAGCTTACTAAGATGCATGATTGGTGATGTCTAGCTTTACGACATTTGATAATTGTATGGGCTTTATACAAAAGGTTATATGGTACAATCTTGATTCTTAAAAAAAAAGTTAAAAAATTTTAAAAATAGGAGAGGTGAGTTAAGGAAAAGAAAAACCATAACATTAAAATGGAATAATATACATAGTGAAAAAAGAAATAGTGATTGATATGTGGAGTGTTATTTGGTTGGCATTTTCAAGTTAAAATTTTATTTTCCCCTAAACTACAATTTTACCCCTAATAAGTACACATCCGTCACTATGAGTTTTCACTAGCGCTATCATATTCTCTATTTTTTTTAGGTGAACCAGGGTGGTACCTGGTGGGCATCCCCTCGATTTTATTAATAAAAATATAAAAGTACAAAGGCAGTGCTTAAGGCTTACTCAATTCAGAAAAGAGACCGTCTTACAGAAAGTTTTTCTAAAACCCCATGACGGTTCTCAAACAAAGTACTACTATGAACTGACTTACAAAGATAGTTCTAAACTATCCCTTGCCATTTCTTGCTTTAAAACATAGAATAATTAGCTAAGAGAATGTCTTACAAAGATTAAACATAAATCCCATGACATCTCTTTCTTGACCTTAAATCTACTATAGAACTACCTAACTCTTACATATGGAAGGCTATTCCTATCTAAAAAGATCTTACCTCTCAAAGAGAGTGAGAGTGTATCCTAATTATAATACCTCAATGTGCTCACCAATGAGGCGTTTCTTGCTAACTCATCTACAACACTATTAACCTCCCGATAAATATGTGTTATTTTTGAGTTAGTGCTTCTCATCTTTTCCTGAACTTGTCTCAAAAGTGTATACTGCTTCCTAGGATAGCCTTTCGCTCGTTGTAGCTGTGTCACAAGGCTTTCATTATTCAATTGGATTATAACATGTTGAAACCCTCTTTGCTCACATTCTGAAAGACCATGATAAATTCCAGCTAGCCCTGCTTCATAACTTGTAGCAACGCCCATATATCTGCATTCCGCAAACATAATACTACCACGCTCCCCTCTTACAATATATCCCCATCCTGCTCGTCCTGGTTGCCCTAGCGCTGATCCATCCATGTTGAGTACAACCTGTCCTGGCTCCGGAGAATGCCATTTTAATACCTTTCTTGTCTTTCTTTTTGGCCTCAAAACCTTCACTTTGAATAAAACCTCTATCTCTTTGTGCTCTTCCAAATTCCTAGCCTGTAAATCATGCATAATCAACATATTAGAAATGTTAAATAGAACATCTTTTTTCAAAAAATTTGAAGAGAAATTAAAACCATCATAGATGACTTTATTTCGCATCTTCCAAATTTCCCATAGTAGGAAAATTGGTGTGACCATTAGTATGGATTTCTTTGCTGTGGTGAAACTTCCCAACTTTTGCCATGTTTGTAAAATATTCCACCATCCTGCATTTTCCGGAATCAGAATACCAAAAAGTGATGCAAAGTATTTTCAGACTAGGCCTATATCTTGACAAGCGTGAAAAACATGGTCCATAGTATCCTCAGCGGCATGACAAAAAGGGTATCGTGAAGGATTCACAACTAAGCCCATTACTTGCAAGCACTCTAAAAAAGGAAGTGAACGATTAAAAAGTTTCCATCCAAATAAAGAAATCTTTAAAGGAATAAGCTTGTTCCAAATATTTTTAAGCGGAAGAAATTCTTCTCTGTGCTCGCGAGCTTCCTCATATACTGAAGAAATGGAAAATGATCCCGTTGAGGTCGGCTTCCAAACCGTTTTGTCCGGCTCATCCACAAATGGTGGATCTAAACTCCGCAACTGCTCCACTATTTGCTCTTCTAATAGACCTACAAAAACTATCAAGAAAAAATCTTTGGAAAGAAAAAAAAATCTTTTACAGTTAGGTCTGATGCTAGAGGATCTCCTGAGTTGTTCCAAAGAATGCCAGATTCTAGCCACTTATCATGCCAAAAAGAGGATGATCCATCACAAAGGACTAGCGTGCTCCTTGTAGATGCGAGATGATCAACTGAGCCTTTTTCTCAATTAAGGAAGCATGAAAATACTTTGTGTTGGCATCACCATCCTGCAACCATTTCAGTTTGGACTTTTGCTGCAAAAAAGCATCTTGCTCACGTGACCTATAGAGTAAAAGAGCTCGCAAATGATTCGACTCCATTCTTACAGAATCTGCACCACTTTGATCAAACTCAAGCTCTTTATCTTGGACTGCTTCCTCCATATCTTTAAGATTTTGAAGCACATCCTCAAAATCCGCTTTATTCCATTCCTTAAGACGCACTTTTAACCGTCGAAGTTTGATAGAAAACCCTAGCATTCCTGATTTCGACACCGGTTGCTCCCAATTGTCTTTAACCATGTCCAAGAAAGCATCCCTTCGCGTCCACATTTCCTGAAATTGAAAGATACTAGGTCTTGTTTCAACATTGGCTTTGAAATGATGTAACAAAGGCGCATGATCCGACAATGTTCGACTTAAATGATGCACCGACGGTTCTGGAAAAGCTTGAATCCATTCCTAATTGAATAAAATCCTGTCCAGCTTCTTAAGAACATGACCATATTGCCTAATCCCTGACCAAGTGATGGGATTACCAAGAGGATTGAGTTCTATCAGCCCCCAGCTATTAATCCAAAGGTTGAAATCGTACATTGAGCCATGATCTGGTTGTGAATTACCCTTATACTCATCCAAGTTCCTGATCATATTGTAATCCCCTCCTACCATAGCAATTGTCCCCAATTTGATTAGCAAAATTCTTCAACTCTAACCATAGCAATTGCCTCTCATTTCTCGTTGATTTTGCATATATTGCCGAAACGAATACCGTTCTGGACGTCTTGCAACTCTCAACCTCAAAATGTAACACTTGATCTGACCCCCCCCCCCACCAGTTTAACAGACCATTCAGAGGAGAACAACACCCAAATCTTTGGTATTGGATGAAAAAGCCTCCATGAAGTGGAGTTTATTTTTTAGCTCTTCTAATTTATTCAACGGTAACATAGGCTCTAATAGAATAACAAAAGAAACTGAATGCGAGGAAATTAAATTCTTGAGTCGCTGAACTGACATCTCTGAAAAGTCCGATAAACAAAAACCTCAAACCCACGTATAATTTTATTGAAGAGTATTCATTTTGTCTAAAAATTGGCATTTCAATTTATATAGATGATTTTATTATTTTTTTTAACGGAAAAAGGTTAGGTCGGCTTTCACGTTCCAACTTAAAAAAAACTCAAGGGGTATACCCAAGTGATAAATTTTTAAGTTAGCCAGTGCTAGTTAGCACAATGCACCCAAGGGATGAACATATATACTAAATAGTTCCCCAGTTCCGCCCTTCCTTGAATTTTATTGCACTTAAATAAATTGGTGCAAAGGGCAGAGTATAGTCTAACCCCAAGCAAAGTACAATCAAGAAAAGAGTCTCCTATACTCATTTACGTAAATAAGGGAAGGACCTTTGGTCTAATAACAACAGTCCCTTTCCAAAACGAGGAGAAATAAACGAATCAAAGAGCTTGAATTCTCCCATTGCCCCCATTTTTTCCAGAAAATCAGCAATTACATTTCCTTCCCTGAAAATATGAGTAATAGAGTACCTTCTTCTTTCCAAAATGTTGCTCATCTCAACCAGCATTAGAAAATGCTTCCATGGAAATCCTATTTGCCTCATCGAAGCATCAGCAAGAACCTTGTTATCTGTCTGGACTACCACATTAGCTAGCTGGAGAAGCTCACATTTGCGCAGCCTAAATAAGATTCTTCATACCTCAAATGTGAAGCTATCTACATCCCCAAGATAGCCACACTCACCATACACAAAAACACCCTCTTCTCCCCTTATAACAAAACTATGACCAGCCCCATCAAGGTTTGAAGATCCATCACAATTAAGGACAAAAGAGTTTGGACCCGGCCGCATCCACTTTACAATCCGCGACTTCCTTCTTGGCAAGCGAGATAAATACAATCCAAAATATGTAGGAATGAAGACACCTTCAACCTCATTACTAACCTTAAGATCATGTGCTATCAACAAGTCCCGCACACTAGATGATAAGGAGTGAATTACAGTATTCAAAACAGGAATCATACCTTCCAAAAAGTACTTATTCCGCGCCTTCCAAATCTCCCAAATAATGTATTGGCAAAATTTTGTATAAAATTCTTTTTGCTACACCAGAGGAACCTTTACTCCACCACTTCTTAAGCATGCTAAGGAGACTTGAGGTACCCCTTATATCCACATTCATGATTAGAGAGAAGTGCGCCCAAATTGATGTCGCAAAACCACAACTATAAAAGCAATGCCCCATGCTCTCGGCATCCCGTTTACAAAAACCAAAAATTGACGGGTTAATTCCAATACCAAGAGTATTTAGAACTTCCGGAAAGGGGAGCAACCCGTTATGCAGTTTCCACAAGAAAAAAGAAATGCGAGAAGGAATTTTTCTATGCCAAATATTTCTGAAAAGAGGCTCAACACTCCGCCGACTTCGAAGAGCTTTATAAGTTGCCTTCACCAAAAATTCTCCATGAGGATTGCTTTGCCATACCAACATGTCCTCCCCAACCGAGAATTCAAGATCCACATTCTCTAAAAAGGAAAAAACCGGCGCCTCAAGACAGCCCCGGAACTCATCCAAGAAAACATTTCTTCTCAAAAAATTCCCGAATTGTAAGATTAGGTGAAGGGAGTTGGCCAAGACTATGATTTTTCAATATACCACAATTTGACCAATTATCAAACCAAAAATATTTGTCTCAACCTCTTACAATTAACTTACATAGGGGCACCACCTTTGCATCAATCTTTATAATTCTCGACCATGATGTTTTTTCCTTAGCAGTGGCTGATAGAGAAAGCAAGAATGAGCTCCAAATGCCTTTTTTATTTTTCACCTTCCACCAAAGTTTGGCCATTAGCGCCTCAATGACATCATGGAAACTCCTCAAACCAAGGCCATTTTCACAAACCGGAAAAGTAATTCTACTCCAAGGGCGCCAATGTCTTCTTCGCTCATCATTTGCACCTTCCCAAAGGAATTTTTGACATCTTTTCTCCAAACCTTGAGTTACCGTCTTAGGAGGGGGAATCGCTGAGAAGATATGTAGTGGCATTGAGGACAACACATGACTTATCAACATCAAATGGCCTCCAGGTGATAGCAATTTATTCCTCCAATTCAGAAGTTTAGCATCAAAAGCATCAAATAAAAACTAAAATGTAGAGACTTTTTTCCTTCCATGATACAAACGACAACCCAAGTACACAAAAGGGAATGTACCTTTTTGGATACCCAACGTCCGCTTGATCATCTCAACCCTCCTCGGATTACATTTACCTGAAGTCACAAAAAAGGTTTTTTCGTGGCTAACTTTTTGCCAGGAAGCTAGCTCATATTGCTCAAAGGATGCATTAACCTCTTTAAGAGACCTCTTCAACCCCTTTGAAAAAATGATCAAATCATCAGCAAAGCAAAGATGCAACACCACCCTAGAGCCCGCCGGAGTTCCATAAGCAGCAATCTTCCCAACCTCCACTAAAGACTTTAACCGCCTTGTCAAAGCTTCAGAACCAAGAACAAACAAATAGGGGGATAAGGGGTCTCCCTGTTTTATTCCTCTTGAAGGTTGGAAAAAACCAATAGGGCTTCCATTAAGCAATACTGAAAACCAACTATTTTGTAAATTATTCAAAATTAATCCCACAAAATGAGTTAGAAAGCCAAACTTAATCAACACAGCACAAAGAAAGCTCCATTTAACCCGATCAAAAGCTTTCATCATATCAATTTTTATCACCATGTTACTCCCTTTAGCCTTGTGATCAATAAACTGACATAAGTCCTGAGCTAACAACACATTATCTATAATATCACGAGCAGCTAGAAATGCCGATTGCTCCCCAGATATTAATCTCGGCATACATGCTTCAACCTTTCAGTAAGAACCTTTGTAAAAATCTTATTCAAGAAGTTACAAAGGTTAATTGGCCGGAAATCCAAAAAAGTGTTCACCACGGCCTTCTTTGGAATAAGTGTAATCATAGTGTTTGCAATAGCTCTCGGAATAGGCAAACAATTCATAAACTCTTGACAACAGCTAAGAGATCATTTGTTATTATATGCCAACATCTTCTATAGAAAATACCACCAAAACCATCCACCCCAAGAGCACTATCTTCATTCAAGTCAAAAACAGCCCCCTTGACCTCTTCAAGAAGTAAAGGCCGCAGCAAAAATTGATGGTCAGCCTCATCTAAGATGCGTGGAATATGCTCCTAGAACCTCTCTTGATGAGTTTGATTTGCATCACCCCCTTCATCCATTAAAAGGTCAAGGAAAAAATCAGCCGCTTCCTTCTCTATGTCCTCCATTTTCGTCAACACCTCATCATTCCGCGACTTGATTTTATGAATTCCTTGCCTTAAACGTCTCTCCTTTAGAGAAGCATGGAAAAAGGACGAATTCGCATCACCTTCTTTAATCCATTTTACCTTAACCTTTTGCCTTAGTAAATCATCTTGTTCCTTAAGCTTATGCAACAATAGGGCTTTTGCTTGCTAAAGATTAACTCTATCATGAACAGCTTAGGTCGCATCATATTTGATTTCCATCTCCTGAACCCTTTCCTCTGCCTTTTTTATGTTTTCAAAGACATCACCAAAAACATGTTTATTCCATTCTTTGAGCTTGAGTTTCAACCATTTAATGGAGAATTGCATCATACCAAAGCTATCAACCGGCTGTTCCCAATTCTCTTGCACAACATGAAAAAAATTAGATCTTCGTAGCCACATATTTTGAAAGCGAAACAACCGCGGTTTGCTATCCCCTTGCAAAGCAAACGTAAGCAACATAGGGCAATAATCAGAAGATGTCCGATTGAGGTTTTCTATAGAGGTGTTTAAAAAGAGATCTTCCCATTCTTCCGAAAACAAAACTCTATCCAACTTCTTACTCACCCATCCCATTTGTCTCATACCACCCCATGTATAATCCTCGCCAATAGTATGAGCTTCCAACAAGCCACAAGACTCTATGCATTCATTATAATCTTCAATGGCATTATAATCTTGAACCAAAGTACCCGAATATTCCTCCAAACTTCGAATCACATTAAAATCCCCACCTATAATCCAAGCTGAAGCCGGATGATTCTGCCTAAAAGATACCAAGGTCTCCCAAAGAGCACCACAATCTGTCTGGGTGGACATAGCATAGACCGCGGATAGAAAGTAGGAGGTGGCAGCCGAAACATGCTTGACTTGAAAGTGTAGCACCTGCGCACCATCCTCTAGCAAGTCGATATCAAGATCCCTTTTTCCAAAAACTCAGATTTTACTATTTCTTGAAGTATAGGCCGCATCAAAATACAAAAACCTTCTTATTTCATTAAGATATTAACGCGAAGCATAGGCTCCGGTATAATAAGCAAAGAAACATTATACATCCGAAGTAGAGACCTTAATTGCCTTTGCGACTCTTAATTCTTTATACCTCGAATATTCCAAAATAAGTGACTAATCATTGGAAAAGAATATAGGAGAAAGAACCTAATTAAGCCGGGCTGATCACCGGAGAAGAGTCCCCTCCTTCATGGCAGCTCGTTCGGCTTTAGATTTTCGACCCCGTTCTTTTTAATACTATAGTCTCACTAAGAATCTCACCCATGATCACCGCATCCCCCTTCTCGCCCTCCGACCAAACCTCATCATCATTAGCAGCATCCTCCACCTCAGTGCTACGGAGACCAATCGAATTATCATCTGTTAACATCCTCTTTACATAGTTAACCAACACCAAAGCTCGGTTAAGATCTTCCATAGCTTTTACTGGCGACTCTTTCACGTAAACAATCTCCACATTTTCATCATCAGAGCTAATTTCTTCATCTATCTCCATAATCGAGGCGAGAACAGAGAATCGATTTGCTCCCGTCATATTAGGGTTTTCAGGCGCAGCTTCCTTTTCATGAGCAAAAGTCGCCGCGGCTGCCGCCTGAGAAGAAACTTCAAAAGCCTGCTCTACTATTGCATAAACATCCACCGGGATAGCATCTTTCTCACGCCGGGATAGCCTTGAAGTTAAGCATCCGCTTCTGCAGCCACTGCGTGAGACAGTCCAATCGCGGACTTAGGGTTTTCCACAGGCTTTGACTTAGTGTTAACCATCGAACCCTGCGACTTTAGGTTCACAGTTGCACCCTGCGACTTTTGGTTTGATTGCGCGACCTGCGATGGAGGGTTAGACCGCGAAGTTCCACCTTGCGGCTTCACGTCTACTCCATTGGCTGCCGGAATCTCCTTTGACCGAGCATGAGTTTTTTGGGATGGGAATTTGTTCTTCTTTTCCACCGACTTCGGAATTCCAGCACGACAATCCTCCTTTTTATGCACGATTTTGCAACACTTTGATCAATAATCCCACACATGCTCATACGTAAACAATTGATCATGCTTCTTCCCTTTTTTGCCCACTTTCACCGATTTTGGAAGCTCTTTTGTAAGATCAACCTCAACACAAAATCGAGCCACCGACGACCTTGTCATGTTCAAAGTCAGAGAATACACTTTCAATGGCTTTCCCATCGCAGTTGCCATTGAAAAAATAACCTCCGGGTTAAGGAATTCTATTGGGAGATCAAAGAGAGAGACCCAAATTGGCACAATTGGGAGATCTTCTTCAAATCTAAAACCCTGTCTCCATTTAAGAATACGCAATGAAAATCCAGCTATGTTCCAGAAGGTGCGAATCCAACACCTTTGGTAGTCTTCCTCCTTCTCAAATTGAATAAGAACGTGTCTAGGGTTCATGAGGCCAAGAGTATAACCGCCATGAAATCCTAGTTTCTTGAACTCCTTATGGATATCATCCATTTTAGGCCGGCCGTAAGAGAACTTCCCAATCAAACTCAATTGGTGAGGGGCAACCAATTGATCATACTCATCATCTTTATATTCAAGGACGGGGGACCCATTGATGAGTCTCACCTCCTTAATGATCAGAGAACCTTTGGATAAAGGGGCATCCAATGGTTTTTGGAAAAAGCTAGCAAATGTGTGAGGAGATCCAGTGGGGACCTCCCCAGCTTGATCAACAGTCATGAAGACCGTGAGCAAGTCTGGAAAAAAAAATGCGGCAATAGAAAGTAGGGAGATGCGAGAGAGAAATTTTTAGAGAGAGAAAGATCATTTACAACATAATATATAGATGATAACAACAAAGAAACATGGCATTTTATCAAAGTACAAAATTCTTCTTTTTTTTTTTTGGTGAAAGGTTAAACTTGTTTTAACTTCTCATCAACATGTCAAATTTACACCACATTACTTCTATTACATCTCAGAACCATATTTACAAACATCTAAAACTCAAATTATAAATCCTATTCTTTCAAGAAATACTTTCTCACTAGGTCTATACTTCCTACAACAATCTGCTACCCTCCACTTCAAGTCCAGCTTGACCTTTTCCACTACTATCTCCACATTGATCAGCTTTCCATCATGTTTAACATCATTCCTGATCTTCCAGATATGATAAATAGCTGCTGCTAGCACTCCATATAACACTCCTTGCTTGTATTTGGTTTGCTTCCAAACATTTTGTATTTGCCTCTTCAAAACAGAGATTTTGTCCGGCATTTTCCTGCCTAACAATCATTTTTCCAATTCCATCAACACCGTTTTTGAGTATTGACATTGGAAGAAGAGATGCTCAAGAGTTTCTTCCTCTGAATGGCAAAGAACACATAACATTGGGTGGTCTATAATCCTCAGTTTTAGCAATCTGTCAGAAGTGAGGATCCTTTCCTTCATCACCAACCACTATAACACTATGCTTAGGAACATTATACTTGTTCCATGTCCAGCCTGATTCCTTTAGCTTCTGCCCCTCCCCCCGAAACCAATCATATCCAGCCTGCACATTGTAGCTACCAGCCCTCAAGTCAGACCATTTACCGATCAGCAAGCCTTCCTTCATTCTCTCCTTTATTTTCATCAGTTTTCTCCAATACCAACAAGAATTCTGTGGAGCTTTGTATTCCCATACATCCTGCCCTTTCAGATAATACTCGTTACACCATTCACCCATAGATTGTGTTTTTTGACAACAATATCCCATACTTGCTTTCCTATGGAGGCTTTGTTCAAGCATGCTGGTTCCTTAAAGTTCAGACCTCCCTTTTTCTTGGGTCTACATACTTTATTCCAAGCTACTCGTGCATGCGCTCTACCATTAGCTTTTTGACCCCAAAGGAAATCTCGACAAACCCTCACCACTTGGGTGATAACACTTTTTGGCAGTATGAAAATTGATGCCCAATAAGTGTGTAGGGTTAACAATACAGAGTTAACTAGCACTATTCAACCAGCATAAGAAAGATGGCGCGTTGTCCAACATTTAACCCTAGCTGTCACTTTTTCTACCAGGGAATGACAATCCACAGCATTCCATTTCTTTGGAGATATAGGAACACCTAAATATCTCATCGGAAAGGAACCTTTACAAAAACTAGTAATTCCCTGAATTTCTTCTTTAATATCATCCTTCACCCCTCCACAATAGACATGAGACTTTTTCAGATTAGCTTTAAGGCCTGTGGTTTCTGTAAATTCATCTAAAACTTTTTTAACCCTTTCAACAGTCCCCAAATCTGCTCTACATAAAATGATCAGATCATCAACAAAGCTGAGATTCGTGATCTTAAGTCTCTTGCATTTCGGATGAAAATGGAAACCCCCTTGATCAACTTTATACTTAAAAAGCCTATTTAGATACTCCATACACAATACAAATATCAAAGGGGAAACAAGATCCCCCTGTCGTAGGCCACGCTTGCCTTCAAACTAACCTACCAACCCCCCATTCACACATAACGAAAAACTGCTTGTGGTCATGCATTCTTTAAGCCGTAACAGATATTTGCTTGGAAATTTATAAGCAGCAAGTACCTCTTCGACGAAAGCCCATTCAATGGAATCGTACGCCTTTTGCAGATCTACCTTTAGCATGCATCTGGGGGAGGCATTCTTCCTGTTGTACAGCTGCACCATCTCTTGTGTTAATAGTATGTTGTGAATGATTTTTTGATCTTTGATGAAAGCTCCCTGGGTCTGCTCCACTAAGACATGTAGCACATCTGATAACATGTTGCTTAAAATCTTGGTAATACACCTGTACAATGTATTACAGCAAGATATAGGCCAGAAATCAGCTACAGTTTGGGGAGAGTCAACTTTCGGAATCAGTGCTATCACCGTCGAATTTATCTACTTGAGAAGCTTTCCAGTTTGAAAGAACTCCTTGATGGCATCGAATGTGCTTTCCCCTACAACATCCCATGTCTTCTTGTAGAAGCCACTGTTGTAGCCATTTGGGCCCGAGCTTTTTACATCATCAATGGAAAAAAATGCCCGTTTGTTCTTAGCATCTGTCACATCCTTGACTAGCTCAAGTTGTTGCTCTATATTCAACATAGCACCTTTCTCACACACTTCCTTCCTGACATGCCTTCTAGCTTCACTTCGACCCAACAGGTTTCTAAAAAAAACTAAGGAAATGGTCTTTAATATCCTTCCAATCCTCCACTACTTGCCCATGATCATTGGTGTATGACAGGATCCTGTTCCTTTTCTGCTTTTGCCTTATTACAGCATGGAAATATATTGTGTTAAGGTCCCCTTGTTGCACCCAGTTCTCCTTCACCTTCTGTTTCCAATAACTATAGGCTTCTGAGCTGTTCTCCACATACATCTGTAGTGCTTCCTTCTCTTTTCCTTGTAAATCTTCATTATGAGGTTGGGCATGTAAAGCAATTTGCGACTCATCTATTTTCCTTTTACTATCCAGAACTTGCTAATCAATATTAGCAATTTTCATGAGGTTTAACTCTTTAAGCAGTGGTTTCAACTTCTTTTGTTTTTGCACCAACTGGAACTGTTTAGTCCCAACTATTTCCTGCTGCCAAATCTTCTAGACTAACCCCTTATATTCCTCATCTTTGGTCCACATATAAAAAAATCAAAACCATCTTTTAGTTGGGCTAGCATTGTATGACCACCTCACTATCATTGGACAATGATCAGAGACCCCTTCTAGTAGAACCGTTACAAAACTTTCCTCAAATTTGTTCAACCATTCATTATTCACCATCACCCTGTCTAGTCTTGATTATGTTCGCTTATCACCAGCCTGCTTGTTGTTCCAGGTGACAAATCCACCATGCGTTAACAACTGCCATACTTGACATTCCTCAATCATCCTCTTAAACTCCCCAACATCTGAAATAGTAACCGGCAGACCACCAACTTTCTCATCTGGAATCACTACATTGTTGAAATCACCAGCCATAACCCATGGCTCGCAAACACTTTGACCAATCTGTATTAAATCATTCCACATTCCTGTTCTATCTTCCTTAGCATTAGCATCATACACCACCGTCAGCAGAAATCTTCTTTTTTCAGCCTTATCCTCCACCTGATAGTGGATAAACTGATCCTCCATTTTCAAAATACTGACTTGTATCTCCTCCTTTTTCCACATGAGAACAATCATGTTTCTTGCTCCATTATTACTGTTTCCTGTATAGTTATAACCAAGCCAACTTCCTTGCATGATCTCTCCTTCAGCTTATCATTTTTCAGTTTTGCTTTGACTGCTGCTATCACACCCCCATAGTTTACTGAGACTAAATTCCTTAGTTCTCTTTGTTTCAGGGGACTACGCAAACCCCTTGTATTCTGTATGCAGATATTATTCATGGGGATATATCTATGCAAACCCCTTCTCTTTGCACATCCTTTCCCACCCAAATTCTGTAATCCATAACAGGATTCCCATTGTAAATTGGTTGCACCTTTTCTACATTCTCTTGTTCTTCTATAGGCATTTGCTTTTCTTGCTGCACCACTTTCACAGTTCCTGTTTGATCTGAAACTTTCTTTGGGACCCAAACTCTTTTCACCTTCTTTTTGCACAGGCCAGTTTCATGTCCATATCCTTTGCATTCTGCACATTTTATTGGCTTCCATTCATATTCTATTGGCTATTCTTGGATCACACCATACTCATCCTCCAACCATAGCTTCTCTGGCAAAATTGATCCTGAAGTTCCATCTCAACAAGCAGTCTGGCAAAGCCAATCCTCCGTTTGCTAGCAGTGAGTTCATCCATTTGCAGGAGATTACCTACTGTGCTTGCTAACCTACTCAAGGATTTAGGCCCCCAATACTTCAGTTGTAGCTCAGGGAGTTTGATCCAAGTGGGAGCTTTCAGTATTTCTTCTATCTTGAATGCATCCTCAACTGACCACTCCTTTACAATTGATGGCTTACTATCCAGGTGGTAATGGTTTCCTTGCACAGCTGACTTCCCCTCCAAACTGGTAAACTTAACCACATAGACACCGTTATCCAACAACAGAACCTTGTCTATACCAAACCTACCCCAGATTCTATGAAGCAAACCATTCATGATTTTGTATGGAGGATGCCCACCCATAACATAGCATACAACAGAAGAACGCCAATACTCTATTTCATCTTCCACATCATCTCTCGAAATCTTGGCTATCTTCTTATCAGATACTGTATTAGGATCAACAAATTCAAGATTGACAGGCAATTTTCCAATCTTCTCCAAGTTTAACCTAGTTCAATTAGGATCTACAGCCATTTTCCCTAATTCCACTTTCTGACTTTCCTCTTGAGTCCCCGAATATACAATCCTATGGTTACTCAATTTCTCCAACATCAAATTAGCAGGGGTTGATAGACAAAGAGAGGGAATAGTTGCACTTACCGGCGTATGAACTTCCAGATCTAGTTCTTTCACCGTTGCCGGCGAGATTTTACTCCCAGAGGTTTCTCCAATCGGTCTCTCCGCCGCCCTGATGACCTTCACCGTAGGCTTTCCTGCTACTTTTTTCCCTTTCGCTAGTCTCCCCATGGCAGATACTAGGAGTATCGACAAGTGAAAGAGAAGAGAAAGCAGTTTTCAGTTGAAGAAGATGGTTTCACACAGTGGAGCATAAAATCGCCCACAGTAAGAGAGAGGAAAGCGGTTATTTTCTTTAATCTTTTGATATTAAAGTCCAAAA